TGACACCCAAATGTGACAGTTCATGTGACACCCAAATGTCACAGTTCATGTGACACCCAAATGTGACAGTTCATGTGACACCCAAATGTGACAGTTCATGTGACACCCAAATGTGACAGTTCATCTGACTACCAAATGTCACAGTTCAAGTGACACCCAAATGTGACAGTTCATGTGACACCCAAATGTGACAGTTCATGTGACACACAAATGTGACAGTTCATGTGACACCCAACTGTGACAGTTCATCTGACACCCAAATGTGACAGTTCATGTGACACCCGAATGTGACAGTTCATGTGACACCCAAATGTGACAGTTCATGTGACACCCAAATGTGACAGTTCATCTGACTACCAAATGTGACAGTTCATGTGACACCCAAATGTGCCAGTTCATGTGATACCCAACTGTGACAGTTCATCTGACTACCAAATGTCACAGTTCATGTGACACCCAAATGTGACAGTTCATGTGACACCCAAATGTGACAGTTCATGTGACACCCAACTGTGACAGTTCATCTGACTACCAAATGTCACAGTTCATGTGACAGTTCATGTGACACCCAAATGTGACATCACAGGTGACGCCCAACTGTCACAATGCACCTGTGACAACACCCGCCCCTTACCTTACTTATCCTCTCTATCTCCATCCGGAAGTACACGGTGTACTCAACACTACCGAAGTGCAACATGTCGTGGCACTCCGTGTCGTTGAAGAAGTCGGGGCTCCGGATTGACACGAAGCTAGCAATGAGTATGTCTCCGGGCATGAAGTACACGAGATCCTCCACCCCAGGGGCGATTAAGTAAGGACAGCCCGCCCTGAGTGTCATGAGTAAGATGGTTACGGTCATCACGTGCTTCTCAGGCCTCATGTTGTTAGTGCTCCGCCTTCCTGTTTTAGGGACTTTAAAAAGTAGATTTATTTTCTTTTGAAACAATCTATTTCTCTTAAAACAGCTTTGGAGACGATTAAAGATCAAAGCTAATTGAAGAGAAACAGCTGTGACGTTGAGATTAAACAGATTTAAACTTTACATTTGTTTCGATGTATAAGTAGATTTTAATTTGAAATGTTTTGATTTGAAAACAGATGCAAACTATATCAATTTATAGTTAAGTTCCTTTTTCCAACCTAATTATCCATGGGACAAGTGAAGTAGAGTTCCCCTGTTTCAGTAAGCGCGGGTTTTGAAGGGATAGCGTGGCAAGCACTCGGTCGAGACCACTTTACTTTCCTAACGTGAGTTAATAAGGTTGGTAAGTAGGTCACCAACCAGTTCTATGGCTCATGCAGGTTTTATTGAGCCGTAGAACTATTTGGTGTCCTACTCACCAGCCCTAATTACCTATCAGAACTGGGTGTAATCTGGGATGTTCTACTGACTTGAACCTAGATTCGAACTAGTGAATATCGGGATAGCAGTTTACCGCTCTACCGCTAGGCCACACCGTCCCATTTACGATTCAAAAACAGATTTAATTAAACTTTAAATTGTTCGATTTATGAGCAGATTTTTGTCTTTAAGTGTTTCGATTTATTACAAGTTTTGAATTTTTTTTTTTAAATTTACAAGCAGATTTAAACTTTAAATCGTTTAATATAAAAACAGATTTAATTATACTTAAATACTTTGATTTATATGATTTATGTGTATATTTATGTTTTATTTTTAGATTTGGAAACAGATTTAATTCGACTTTAACTTGTTCGATTTATAAGTTGATTTAACTTTGAATTTCCTGATTTATAAGCATATTTAAACATTGAAAGAGTTAAATTAAAACGTAAACATTTCGAGAAATATTTGTTTTAAAATTAGGAATTAGACAAAATACACCAAACATATATAAACGATGACAAGTAACATGGTAAGCAATCATGACAAACGTGTTACTCTAGAGCAGGGGTCTCCAAACTACGGCCCGCGGGCCGGATGCGGCCCGCGAGGTCCTCTCATCCGGCCCGCGGAGATCTTTTTGTCCACGGAAAAAACGTTTGTTGGTAATGGCTGAGGAACTTTGCCCAGAAAATCAAAGATATGCGTGGAAGAAACTGGCCCCCGAACTGAAATTTGATAGTTAATGCGGCCCTCGGACTGAAAGTTTGGAGACCCCTGCTCTAGAGTGCCCATAGCACATTTATATAAGTGTTGTTAACATATCATAGTTAACATATCAGTGTTGTTAACATTTCACTGTTTTAACATATCGTTTTTTTAACATAACAGTGTTGTTAACATAATATTGTTGTTAACATAACAATTTTGTTAACATAACAATGTTGTTTACATAACAATGTTGTTAACATATTAGCGTGGTAAACATAACAATGTTGTTAACATAACAATTTTGTTAACATAACAATGTTGTTAACATAACAATTTTGTTAACATATCAGTGTTTTAACATATTAGTTTTGCTAACATACTAGTGTTACTAACATATCAATGGTGTTAACATACCAGTGTTGTTAACATATTAGTGTTGTTGACATACTAGTGTTGTTAACAAACCTATGTCATGTTTTAAACGAAAGAGGCATTTGTACATTTTTACCTTTATCCAAATAATACTCACCAAAGTACGTAGAATGTATATACAAGTGATACAAAACATATTTTTATAACAATGAAATAATATTGTTTTAATACTCATGGGAGTCGTCATGGCTGGGTTGGTATAACCCATGATTGCTAAACCGAATAGTCCAAAGTACAACCCCCCCCCCCCCACCCCGGCTTAGGCAGATGAGGTTCGATAGCTGGGGACAGCTAAGAGAAACAACTCTAAAATCAAACAACTGCTGCCTTGTAGTTTGGTCTTGGGTGTACAAAGGCTATAGAAGCAAATATAAAAAGAAAAGCAGGCTGAAATCGGAGTCAACGGCCTAATTGGCGCATAACAGTTTGACATAAAATAATTAATTCAGTTAGAGGAAACCCAGTCCAACATTACAATTAAGATCGAAGAAGAAGAGGGAGAATACCCCAACTCACTTCAGTAGTACAGTTCAGCTACTGACATTTGTTTACGTTTGTTTTGTTTTTTTTGTTTTTTACACTTTTCTTTTCTAAGAATGGCTATTGCGTTTAGTTTGTGTGATAAACTTCTTACGTCAATGTTATCATTTTATATTATGTTAGCTGATATGGCCCACATCTGGAGTACTTGCAGTGTTTACATTGTAGTGCAATTTAGTGTCGTCGTAATCGAGTAAATTGTGCGAGAAAATACACTAAACAGTATGTAGGATATCCTTTTCAGCTTGCTTAGCATCGGTGCAGATCAGTGCTCAGTATTTCTTGTCGGTGCGAAAATACAACGCGATATTCCCCTTAAAGCGGAAATAATATTACAAGTGGAAATTTTTTTAATGCCCTATCAATATGTAAGACCTTTATTATTTTCTCGTCTACAGAATATCGAGGAAGTATTGTATTCGTGCACAAAAATTAAATGAATTTTTGAGAGTTTTACCCCTGCCTACTGTATCGTATTAGTTAAGGATATATATTGTAATGTTGTGCAAAAATCAAAATCGAGATTTAGACAAATTTTGATGATTTATATTCTTCCGAAACCGAAAAACTTAATTTTGCAATTGTGTCTGTATGTCTGCGTGTCTGTCTGTGAACACAATAACTTGAGTACCGTATCAGTAAGATTGGCGAAATTTCATATATAAGTATTATTTCGGATCTGATGTTCTGTATCAGTTTTTCAGCGATTTCCAGTAAACTGTTGTACTTACTCTACTTCCGGTTTCTCAAAAGCCAATAACTGGAGCATCGTTTAAGCAACGTGAACGAAATTTCACATTTTAGTACTATAATGTTTCTTTCAACTTTTGAACTATTTCCGGTTACCGGAAGTGGTACTTCACTCTACTTCACTTCAGTCTCGACACTCTAACTTGAGTACTTTTTACTTTCTCGTATATACGTAGTATAGAGAAAGTATTGTAATCGTGCAAAAAAAAAAAATCAAGATTTTTACAAATCTCGACGTTTTACACCTCACTGATACGGAAAAACATAATTTTGCAATCTTGTCCGTATGTCTGTGTGTGTGTGTGTCTGTGTGTCTGTCTGTCCGTGTGTAAACACGATAACTTGAGTACCGTTACAGCTAGGTTGATGAAATTTCATATATAAGTATTTTATCAAAATCGTAGATCCGTATCAACTTTTGAGCGATTTCCGATAACCGGAAGTGGTACTTTTCCTACTTTGAATTTTTCAAAAGCCTATAACTTGAGTACTATTTCAGATAGATAAATGAAATTTCACATGTAAGTAAAAGATCTAATTCTCTACCTTCTGTTAAATTTTGAGTAATTTCCGTTGACTGGAAGTAGTAATTTACGCTACTTCCGATTTCTCAAAAAACTAATGTAAATTTTTAAAGTACTAATAATATTGCGCACTATTATACGCGTTTTTATTCGGCGTTTGCTTGGTGCGCAATGTTTTTTTTATGAGATTCTATTCTATTTTTAAAAGTTTAAGTATTTAAAATGGATTAAAAATCATAACTATATCCACAGTTACCATCCCCTGTTGTTTTATATAAGAATATTCGAGAAAGTTTAGGGGAGATCACTACCGGTTTATTTAAGCTAGAAAGACGAAAATGTATTTATAAGGAAACTAATTATATAGATGCATTTTTTTTTTCATTTTTTTTTAATGGCATCGCTGCTAAAATAGCCACAACGTTAGTACCGTTTCATTTTGGTGAACGATATTTTATACATTGACATAAGGGGAGGTCACTCCCACTTCACCTTTTTTTAAACCAAGAAAATAGCGGTATAGCTCGACATTTCTTGACGTTTTTTTTTTTTTTATCTTAACCTTGTGTTTGAGAAAAATGAAACAATTTTGTAATTTAAATCTTTCAAATTTCCCTTAGCCAATCACGTTCAGCGATATTATAAGAGATTTCTTCCAGATTTCTGTAGCATCGCAACAATCAAAGCCCGAAAAATAAACTTTCATTATACTTTAATGCAAACTTGTATAAAAAAAATTACATGACAATGTATGTACAAAAGTATCTCAATTCTTAGAAGGAAATTAATGACAAATAACATAGGAAAGATACAGTTTTAGAATCAAACCCTCGTTTTGCGGTCGACTAAATGCTAAAGGATTGATCTAGAATACACCGTCCCGTTAAGTTATGTGCTAGCTTTAACTAGATGCTTCCTCGACCTTCTCTACTCTACTACACTCACTGCTATGTGGGTCTGTGATTCGGGGTTGGAGCGTCACTTCCAACTTTGTTTTGTCCAGTGGCGGTTGTTTAGCAACCTCCGACGCGTTGTTCAGTACCCTGATGAAAGTCTGCTTCGCTTTGTAGTGCACGTAAAAGTACCGGCCGACGTGCGCCATGATGGGGGTCAAGGCCGTCGTGTGGTTGGCTAAGGACGTTATTGAGATGTAGTACAGCTTCAGCAGTCGTTCGTTGGTTATGACGTAGCCGATGATGAAGGCAAGCCATATGATCATGGATATGGAAATGCCGATGATGGTGTACTTGGTCTCTCGGCGACACTCCCTGTTGGAGTCGGTGGTCTCGAAGCAGAGCATGAACGACACGGTCAGGAGGACGAAGGTCAAGCCTAGGAACATGTAGATGTAAAACTCGTTGAAATAGCAAGCCCACTGTGCCACTTGAATGGACTTTGTGGGCTGGTAGGCTTCGGCTGTTATGGGCTTCCAATTCCCTATCTGGTTAAACATCATGGTCTGGGAAAATAGAAATAAATCAATTAAATTAACGTAGAGCAGTTGTTCACTTTGATTTTTTAGAACTTATTGGTGTATAATAAGACTTTTTGGTGTTGCGAGTGTGTGGTATACTGTCTTTTGTTTCGCTACCTATTTGTTTTTTAAATTAAAAGTTCATCTAGTTATGCGATTAAAAAGTGTACAGGAAAAAATCTATAAAAATGTATCCTCTATCATAACAGCTGCGCCTCACCTTCCACGCCGCTGGGTACCTAACTCATATTGGGGAAAGTAAAGGCGGCTGGGCAAAGTGCTGACCGCACCATCCCTTTATATGCCGAGGTCTAACTAAATACATATGATCTCTATTTCTTCTGTCCAATGGATCGGTAGGTCTAGAGAGAATTCTTTTTTAACCTTATCTAGTGCTAGAGGTAATTAATATATGAAAACATGTTTACAGTAACAAGTTTTAATACACGCACTGATAACAGTAAATTAAAAAATTGTCTCCAAACTTAATAAAGCACCACTACTTAAATTACTATCGAGGAAAGCATTGGTCGCTCATAAAATGTGCAAATACATTCGAAGTTAATATCCATTTGTCTTGCATTTTCCTAGTTGCCCAAAATCTAAATCTAACTAATCACTTAACCCCTGTTAGTGTCGTTAGGGCAATTAACGTCATCTCTTTATATAAATTACCATTGTGGGGTCCGTCTGTCTGTCTGTCCGTCCGTCCGTCCGTCCATCCGTCTGTCCGTCTGTCCGTCTGTCTGTCTGCCAGCCTGCCTGTCTGTCTGCCTGCCTGTCTGTTGTGTGTCCGTCTGTCTGTCTGTCTGTCTGCCTGCCTGCCTGTCTGTCTGTCTGCCTGTCTGTTGTGTGTTTTTTGTTTGGCTTTTTTTTTTGGTTTTGTGTTTGCTTATTTGTTTGTTCGTTTGTTTGTTTGTTTGTTTGGTTTTCTGTTTGCTTGTTTGTTTGTTCGTTCGTTCGTTCGTTCGTCCGTTTGTTTGTTTGTTTGTTTGTTTGTTTGTTTGTTTGTTTGTTTGTTTGTTTGTTTGTTTGTTTGTTTGTTTGTTTGTTTGATTGATTGATTGTTTGTTTGTTTGTTTGTTTGCTTGCTTGTTTGTTTGCTTGCTTGTTTGTTTGTTTGTCAGCTGATGACAAAATGATGACCAATCTGGTAGATGCCAGCAGTTGACATCAAGATGACGTATTAACATTTGGATACCGTAAGGTTTTACGAAATAATTTCCTTTTTTTGCGAAAAGAAGTGGCATTGGTAAAAATTTTGAACTATATTTACTCCATACGGACGAAATGATCGCGCGGGATAGCTCATAGCTGCTAAGTCCAAAAGCCACGAATTTAGATCCAGGGCTCATTTGCTTTAGACAGCAGCCCATCTAGGAGAGACAACTCCGAAATCAAACAACCGCTGCCTTGTGACCTGGCCACATGGTATCGAAGCAAATCCAGAAAAAAAAATCTGGCTGAAGTCATGTTGACACGTACCAGTGGATTGTTTTGGAGGAAATATCCTCTAATATATTACAATTAAAAACAAAGAAGAAGCGTGCTCGCCAAAATGTTGCTACTCATACATATTGTTGACAGGATATTACATTCTAAGAATCTAATCGTAGAAAAATAGAGTACTAATAGTAAATATGGTAAGTAGTAAAATGAGAATGAATATACTAAACCACCCCAATGGGCAAACATTTAGAAATGTCAGTATTACATAAATGTCAATAATAATAAAATTGCAACAGAATGGACAATATATTATAAAAATCAAAACAAAATTTCTCTTACCTGCAGAAATTGACATAGCAGAATTGTCAAGAATAGGTTAAGAGTCTTTCTTCTCGCTTTTTTATCCGAGGGCATCCTGCTCCGGATGTACTTTGTGTAGGCTTTCAACGTTATAGTTGTGTAGAGAATATTAAAACTCAACGCGAAATTTATAAACCAAGCATAGCATTGGACCGCGGTGGCCTGTTCAACAAACAGAGGCACCGTGACGTACCCCCACACGGCGCACACGATCTCGACAATCCGGAACGTCAGGAGCTCCGTGTCTTTCGTGTTGATGCGCTTGACCAGAGCGAACACTAGCAGCCAAACCGCGAAGGTGGCCCCCGACCCAGACAGGACAATAAGCGTGGCCGACATGGGGGACGAGAGGCTGGGAATCTCTACCGGAATGGGCAGACACTTGTCTCGAGTGCCGTTTGTGTAGCCAGGCCAGTGAAGATCCGGACACACCTCGCAGCTGGTCTTGTTGCCGGTGACCACTTCGTTGTCTTGGCAACTCCGGCATTTCCAGCAGCATCGTATGACGGGGTACTTGTATTTATTCGGCTCGCAAGGCTTCTGGCAATGGTGTTCAATGTACACTTCGCTTTTATTAAATATATAATGATCCCAATTTATCGGGTCTAGGAGGACGGTCATCCTATTTAGCGTGGAATAAAACCCCACGATAGCTTTGTACTTCTCCTCCGTATTGAGCATCTGATGGATGATTATATCGCTGTATCTGTCGCCTTGCTGGTTGAAAAATAGGGTTCCAGAACTACCAACGAATTCAGTTTTTTTTACATAGCTATTGTAGCTACGGTAGTTTTTGTAGAAACATTGAACGGCTGGCCGGCCAACCAACCCAGGGCATTTTTCCGACAGCATTTTTACCAAAGACACGACTAACACCTTGACGCCGTCCACAAGTTCTCGAATTCTGACAAAACTGTGCAGTCGTAATTTCGTCAACTGCTCCGCACAAATGTCATCCGTGCAGTTATGTATATCATGAAGCGCTTGTATGAACCACGGATTATTGTGATTCATGCCTAGGTTCGCGTAATGTTCTTGGAATCCTGTAATCCCCAGGAAAGGCGGTACAAATATAACAGCACCCTTGGGACCGCCAGTCATTAAAAGGTTGTACCAGTTCTCCGTGGTCACGACAATCAGACGCTGATCGGCGCCGAGCTTTATAATAGCGTTAGACAGTTTGCTTATGCACCGCTGCGTCACGAAAGTCACAAGGACCCGCGAGCCGACTTTGGTCAGGAAATAGTCCACAACCTTCTCAAAGTGGGAGGTCGCGGTAACGGCAACAACTTTGGCGATACAGATGTGCCTCTGAAGAGCTCGCTGGCGAAAGAACTTGAAAGAGGACTCCCCATAGAGGCCGTATTCGAAGATTACGGCGACGAATCGCCAGTCATTTTGGATGAAAAAATCGACCATAGCATCAATCTGGAAACTATTCTTTGGCACCATTCTTACAAATGTCGAAAATTTGCGCTTAAATTTGTAAATTAATACAGTATTAATTACAGTATATATATATATATATATATATATATATATATATATATATATATATATATATATATATATATATATATATATATATATATAAGGCCTAACGTTTAAGGTAACATTAGCAAAACAGTGGTACACATATCTTATAATACAATCATAATATAAGGTTTAAGTTTATACTAACAAAACATACATACATATTTACATACATTATATATGGGTGTGTAATTAAGTATGTATATATATATATATATATATATATATATATATATATATATATATATATATATATATATATATATATATATATATATATATATATATGTGTGTGTGTGTGTGTGTGTGTGTGTGTGGAAACTGTGTGAGCGAGAGAAAAGAAAAGCGAATTTGTGTGTGTTTTTGTGTGTTTTTGTGTGCTTTTGTATGTGTGGCTGTGTGTGTGTGTGTGTGTGTGTGTGTGGCTGTGCATTGTTTGACCTTGTTCCTACCATGTACACCAGACAGATCAAACTACCTTGTCACTTGTCAGTATGTCGGCTGTGGAGTACGCGCTAAGTATGGGAACGTTAAAAGCGCCGAACAGTGGCGCCACAGCGTACGTTGTGATGCTGTCTTCTGTTCCTATAACGCCTATCACCCTAAAACTGCGATCGATTGATTTATGCTCTGAAATATTAGGCTTTCGTTGATATGCACAAGTTGTTGTTTATGTGTGTGTGTGTATATATATATATATATATATATTTTTATATATATATATATATATATATATATATATATATATATATATATAGATATAGATATAGATATGTTCAAATATATTATTTTTATAAATGCACATTTCTTTAATTTAGATAAAGGCTTTCGTGTAGAGAAAGTCCTTGTAAACCTTACCTGTAATGTTATCATAGTCTACACCGCTGTGTTCAAGAAGTCGGAGCGTTTGTCTGATGGCCATCGACTTATGTCTACACACGTCCATCATAACAAAACCAAATTTAAACTGCAACTGCTCAGAAAATTCCTGAAAGATACAAAGGCAAGGAGTGACATTTGAAGAAAAGAAGGTGCAATGCTTATGCCTTCTGCGCATAGGACAGACGTGTTCCATGTAATGGAAATGATATGTAATGAATTTGATATGTAATGGAGTTGATCTGTAATGTAGTTGATCTGTAATGTGTTTTCGTATAAGACATTCGTGGTATATGTAATGGAGTCAGTCGATCGGTAATAAAGATGATCTATAATGGTGGTTATATGTAATAGAGTTGATGTGTAATGGGTTTGATTCGTACATGTGTTCCCATTTAATTAATTACCCTAATGATGTGTAGTGGGTTTGATGCAGTGGCGTAGCGAGGTCGGGTGTCACCCGGTGCGGCACTTAATGATGTCACCCCCCAGAGGGGTAGCGACACTTCCCGGGGACAAACTTAATCTTCGATTTGCACCCCCCCCCCTCCTCAAACTTTCGATTTGCACCTCTTAAAATACTATTTGTCATTTTTCTCTATATATTTTGCTATTTTTTGCCTTGGTGTCACCTCCCTAAATGGTGTCACACGGTGCGGTCCGCACCCCCTCCCCGCCCCCCCTTCCCCTCGTTACGCCTCTGGTTTGATGTGTACATTAGTTCCCATCTATATATATAATTCTCTTCTGGGAGACGCTAGAAAGCAAGCTGTAAACGCACTCCCTACCACCCCCACCCCTACATGGTCTGGTGAGCTGTGGTTCACTCTAAATGTTTACAAACAGAGCCGGGTTTAGTGACGACTATTAGGGGCAGATAATTTAGTTTGAAACGATATTAAACGTAGGGGGGGGGGGTAGCTAAGTGGAGTTTACTTTAACGGAGGGGGGGAGGAGGGGGGGTTATGGTCCTTAACGAGCTACTTATAGTGTTTTAAATACATATTTTCAGTGGCAGCGTTGGTAGTGTCGAATTTCCAAATTATGAATTACTGAAAAGTAGAAAAAAACAACAACTAAATAGCGGCGTATGATATGCCGCGGATCGGCTCGTTTAATTAACTACTCTAATGAAGTGTAATGGGTTTGATCTGTACATTTGTTCCCATTTACTTAATTACCCTAATGATGTGTAATGGGTTTGATGTGTACATAAGCTCCCATTGAAATAATTACCCTAATCCGCTCACCTCGTTCACCTTCTTAATGCCATACGCGAGCGCCTCCATAGAGTCGACGCCATCAAAGTTTATGATCGGGCCGTCACAGGTTTCAGACTCTGATGATATGGACCAGAGGGCCCCAATCATGAGCTCCCCGTGCTCCACGTACGTTGCCCGCTGCAAGTTTTCGCTGGTCGAAGTATTTAAAACCATAGCGAAGACGAGGTACAGTGTACGTCGCGTGATCATCACTAGTTGCGAGAGCTCTTCAGCATCGGGAGGAACAATTTTAAACTCACTGAAGATGGAAAGAATGAAAACGACTTATAACTTTTACCTTGACGCCATCCGTTAGTGTATAGCTATACTTAGTTCCAGAGGCGTAGCGAGGGGGGGGAGGGTGGCGGGTGCGGACCGCACCGGGTGGCATCATTTAGGGGGGGGGGGGGTGGCACCAAGGCAAAAAATAGCAAAATATATAGAGAAAAATTTGAGGGGGGGGGTGCAAATCGAAAGTTTGAAGGGTGGGGTGCAAATCAAGAATTGAAAGTTTGTCCCCGGGAAGGGTCGCTACGCCTCTGAGGGGTGACACCATTAAGTGCCGCACCTGGTGACACCCGACCTCGCTACGCCACTGCTTAGTTCTAATATCCGCAGCAGCATCGCTAGGCCCTGTATTTCATCATCATCAACCTTCCTCAACCCTTATTGGGGACGTTGGGGCACCACAGTTGATCTTATAATTCTCCGCAGTCCACCTCTGCTACTTTGATCAGGTCTAAGACGGTCAGCCCCGTCAAATCCTAGATGTCTACCAACCAGTGTCGTCTTTGCCTTTCCCTTTTATCCCACCTGGCACAGTGCCTTGTAATACTGTTTTGGATAGGCCGTTGATTCGAGTGACGTGTCCATACCGACTCAATTTTCTTGTTTTGGCTAAACTCAATAGACTCTCAAAGGACCAATCGCACTAGTGATCCTTTCCCGAATTTCTTAATTAGTAATAATTAGTAATGTATATATCCATGCGTCTGCTATGCTACCACAACACAAACTATTTCCCCAGAAATATGTACATACGGAAAACTGCGCAACAGAAAAGAACGCAAATTAAAACTAATTATATTAATACACTTTAATTGTTTATCGTATTTTGTGGAAAAACTTTTTATTATGCTAGAGACATGCAGTCATTTTTTGATAAGTATAAATGTTCGATTTAGATTAATTTAGAAAGAAAAAACATTTTTGTGCGCAGTTTTTTCTTTACACATGTAAATTCTTCTCAGATACCAAAAAGCAATTTGTATTTAGACTCATCCTAGACCAGTGGTCCTTAACCTGGGTCCTATCGAACCCCAGGTGTTCGGTGAGTCAGTCTCAGGGGTTCAGCGGAGGTCAAGACACACACTCGACTCAAATGATTCACAGTATGATTTTGTCAGTGCGAACAATAGAACTATTAAGAAGGGTTGGGTCAAGACACATATGAAACTGGTGGGGTTCAGTACTCCAAGTCCATTATTATGTATTTTTATGGCAATAAGGAAGAAGAATTACCATTCGGCCTACTCTATTCTGTGGTCCTAGGTAGACGAAGATATGCAGGTGCTGCTACAAATGGCTTGTGCTATTGTAAAGACATGCTCTTAAGCAAACCCTACGCACTCTGGTGAGATAGTAATTCTCAAAGTATATATCTACTGAACATGCAGTTTACTTGAACATAAAAGAATTACAAACTTTTTGTTCTGTCAAATGGTTTATGCAGTTCCGTTCGTGTGTTCAAGCACGGTGTAAAGACGTGCTCACTAGCTAAAAACGACTAGCAAGTTTGCTGGAAAATATCTTCAAAGTAAACGAGACGTATCAAGGCGTGAAAATAAAATAATACCCAGTACACATTTTTAGTGAGATTTTTTTTAAAGTGAAAGTGAATAACTTTACAGGAGTTGGAGATTGGGAGATTTGTCGGGGGGGGGGGGGGGGATTGGGGGATTTGCGGGGGAGATCGTGCACATTTAAAAATTTTAAACAAAGAAGTAGATTAAAATTGTAGTCAGTCATAGCCAGCATGTTTAAACTCCCACGAAAGAAAGAAGCCCTTTTTCGGTGAACTAATTATACAAATAGGCCTTCAAGCCAGAGGCATAGCGAGGGGGGGGGGGGGGAGGAGGCGAGGGGGGATGGGGTACATATGTCCCTGGGCGCAGACCTTAGGTGGCGCCAAAGTGGGTTGGAAAAAAATGAAAATTTCATTTTAGCTGCAGTTTTGCATTATAAATATAAATAAATAAATATATATATATATATATATATATATATATATATATATATATATATATATATATATATATATATAAGGGGGGGGGTGGAAATCGAAAGTTTGAGGAGGGTGCAAATCGAAAGTTAGAGAGCGGGGTGCACATCGAAAGTTTGAGGGGGAGGAGTGGAAATCGAAAATGCTCCCCGAGGAAGGCGACAAATTGAAAGTTTGTCGCCGGGAAGGGTCGCTACGCCTCTGCTTGAAGCGCCTCCCCAGGCGGCGGATAGTGGTGACATGGAAAATAAAATATCTGTGACTGACTAAAATCAACCCTACAAAAGAGGCGGGCATTTAAAGTTTAAGACTTCGATAGTAAGGAAATCTAGAAAGAATACCACACAGCAGCGGGGTTAAACTGGTATATAACAACAAAAAAACCAAAAGGTAAACAACCAAAGTGCAGACCAAACTCCGATAGATAGACAACAGACAAACAGCAGCATGGAGTCCAAACACTAACAGCAGACAGGCCTGAGCAGGGGGGGGGGGAGAGAAGGGGCTGGCTACCAAGGGAAACTTAAACGAGGCCCACCGGGATTTCTTACCAAGGTGTTGAAGCAGGACAAAGCCCTCCATGGGCTGGAGAATAACTACGATGGAGGATGGAGATTACAAAAGCCACACAGCTATCGTCCTCTAACTAGCGTTCTCTATACATAGCGGAAACGCGTTCAACTCAAATCGATGTAAAAAAATTATTTTGAGAGGAGAGCATAGCATTACACACGAACACGTTTTGCACGGCAGCCATTGATTAATGAAATGTTTTAAAAAGATAGGGCTACCAATCAAATTAAAGGAAATCCTAGGTTTTTTTAAATGTAAATAACTAGCGTGCCCATCCCCGCGCGTTGCCGCGGGGATCGAAGAAAGTCTGACGTAATATATAATAAGGGTTTCATTAATGCGTTACCAACCCTATATTCTAAGACGTACGTCCTTGTTTTCTAATACTGAGTTATTTAAATGTTAACAATGCTAGCGCTTGGATAATATTTATCGGGACATGGGTTTACCTACACTACCGCACGAAAGCCCTGAGTGTACGTTAATCACTAACCGTAATATTGAGGTAGAACACACTTCAGTGACCACACGGACGTAGAGGGGCGTTCTCGGGAGCTCCCGATTACACTACCTCAGGGGCGCCGCGTACGGCCCATTAAAACTATCGTAATCACCATGGTGCTCAAAGCATAACTAAGGAGGCCAAATAGAAATCTTCGCATAAACCTTACTTATATTTAAATTTCTATCCACAAAACGAAAAAGGTACTCAAGTTATAGGCTTTTGAAAAACTGGAAGTTACCGGTTACGGGAAATCGGCGAAAAGTTGATCGAAAACTACAAGTTCGATAATAATACATATTGATGAAATTTTCGTCAACCAAACTGAAACGATACGCTAGTTGCTGTATTTACACACACCTACACACACACACACACACATCCACACACACACACACACACAGAGCGAGACGGACAGGCATTGCAAAACAACTTTTTTTCAGGCTCAAGAAGGCTTCAAAACGCAAACATTTTTCAAAATCTCAATTTAGATTTTCGCATGGATACAATACATCCTTCTTAGCCTAATAATCCGCATGCTACAAAGCAGGGAGGTGTAAAACTGCCAAAATGTATGTAAATTATTCAGCCTACAATACTTCCCCTATACAATACTTCCCCTATACTCAATGTACGACAAAGTAAAAAAGGTACACAAAAATGCACAATAATATTTTCATTTTTTTCTCATTTTAATAGCACTTTAAAACAAAACATTTAAAAAAAAAAAAAAAAGGAATAAAGAAAATAAAGAAAAGTTGTTTGGTATTGTTCGGTGTTTATAATGACCAATCAGGGGACATAACATTTGTGAACTATTTCCGGAATAGGAGTCGTTACTTTCAATTCATTACCTACAAAATAAAAAGCACAATTTTTCGAGGATAAAATCAACATTTAGCTGTTAGATTGATCAAAATTATGTAGACTTTACGCCTTAAGAAAATTAAGTAAATATAGATCTAAGCTGAGTCAAACATTTCGTATTTATTTAGATATGTTTCGGGGGGACTTAGAAATCTAGATCTTCTAAATTTCTAGATTAGTTCATTTTGGAAATAGAAAAAATGGGACAGACTGCATCTCTTACAAAAAAACTTGTTACCCAACCATTTTCTTGGCTACGAGGACAAAGGCACGACGACGAGTCTGCTTCAGCAGCTGGTTTGATTCCTAAAGGAGCCACTTTATATGTCTTTAAGAGAAGAGGGTTAGCTCAATTTTAAATTAGTTTTTTAGGCTAAGTTTAGTATTGCATAGCCTAGTACGAGTAGGCCTATGCCCTGGGCCTATACACACTATGTCACTATGTGACTATACAGTGGGGCAGCCTAGGCCCTAGGCAAACTAACTAGGGCCTATAACTAGAGCCCCCCGAAGAGATGCCTGGAAGAAACTCTGCCTAGAATATAGTAATAATAGGCCTATTGATAATAAATAAAATAATAATCTATAGGCCCTATGTCTTGCAGCTAGCGTGTGAAAGAAACATAACGGAAAGTGCAAAATAGCACACTCACATAAGATAATTTAGGGGTCGTCCATAAATGACGTCACACTCGAAGGGGGGAGGAGGGGTCTGTAATTTTGTGACGGTGTGTGATGAAAGGGGGGGGGGGGGGGTTCAGATGGTGGGACATCACACTTTTGCATTATAAAAAGGCCAAGACTATTCCCAGCCGGTTGTGAATAGCCCCAATACAGCTATTCACAGTCGGCTGTCATTTCATGCTAAATACGACTGTGAATAATATCTTAAAAATAGGCTACTTAAAATAATAAAAGCATTTATTGTGACTGGGGAGTGAGGTATAGAATAGATTAGGCTCATATCAGACATATCTGCTACAGGCTAAGTATGTCATAGATGATCAATTATGCACTCAAAATATTTAGGCCTACACTAGAATAATAGATGTAGATCTAGTAATTTTTAAATAAATAATACTAATTAGCCTAAGTATTATCAGTTTAGTTGCTTGTTCACATTGCTATTCAACTATCAATTACCATTAAAAATTCACATTATCACATAGAATAAATATCAGGTGAAATAGGATGTCCTTTTTCATCAGCTATAATTCACAGTTTCCATCACGCTTTTGTTTTTTTTCTCTTAGCAAAAATCTACGTGACAGGTCTTTTTTTTTTTTTGCTGATATGTCAACAATTACGCCACAACAACAAAAAAATAACAAAAACAACCCTTCCATGAGTAACTCAAGTAACTGGGAAAAAATATTTTGATATTTAATAAAAAATAGAAGGCATACATTAAGAGTCATAGCATGGATTTGAACCCACACCTTCTGGCACGACACTCACTCCCCATGACCACTCGACTACACATCTTCAAGCCCAGTTGGGTATTTTAAACATTAAATCTATCAAAAACGGTCACGACTGTGAATAGCCCCATTACGGCTATTCACAGCCGGCTGTGAATAGACACTTTGTTATAAAAAAGAAATGTTAGAAAATGAATTTTAGCTGTTATTTCGCGTTTTAGAAAACTGTTTTAATAAATTGTAATAGGAATTGATTACAACACTCTAAGTTGAGAGAGTTCAGACAAGATTTTGGAAAAATATGGATTTTTTAAGAAAAATTCAACTGCAATTTTGAGGGGGGTTGTATGCTGAGGTGTGACGTTATTTTAGGGGGGGTGGGTCTGGCTTTTGTGACTTCAAAAAAAGCGTGACGTCATTTATGGATGACCCCCTTATTACAAATGGGTTTTTATTAGGGCCTTTGTGTTATGTCAGTCTCTATGGAATTCACTAAATCTGAATGGCTAATGAAACGCAAGTAACACAGGTTTTTAGATGACCTAATTGTCAGGCATTTGTTTACCCAGCTCTCCCAATATTTGAATTTTTATTACAGTCACATCATACTGTATATACCATACACATACGCAGTGGAGTTTATATAAGTAATGTTACAAAACAGTACAAATCCTAGCCTGGCTTTTCAGTTTCAGGCCTACAGGACGTTTGTGTTTATGTCTACATGGGTGGGCTAAATAAACAATATAGTCATATTAAAGTGAAATAACTATTGATTTGTTTGTAATGTCACCCTAATTAGTCTCTGTAATTAATAAACTAGTAATTAGCTTTGTTCAAGTCAAGTTTCTTATCTTTGATCAATGTAATGTAACATAGCATGATGGGACAGAGTTAGATTCAAAGACTGAGCTCGTTATCAAATTATAATTTAATATTATTTATAAATGACCTCACACTTTATAGATAATTTTTACCTTCCCTCCCCCGCTTTTGTTCACAAAAGCTAGACCCCTTGTCCACCCCCAGCCCCTCTCACCACACACACAATTTTATTGAAGAAGTTTTAAAAAAATGAAAAATAATGGCTAGGTTTGTCTACAGTTTGTCTCAAATGGATTAGTGCTTTAAAAAGTCTGGGTTCTGATCCTAATAGTACCCTATGCTTCAAAATAGGGAGTCATATTCATTTCTCCTCACCTTTTTTTGGCGATTCCAAAATGCCTATACTTTTTTAATAAAAAATTTTCAACTGTACAAATGCCAAATAGGCACAGCAAAAAAACCAAGTTTATTTTTATTCTTCTTGTTTACAATGTAATTGCTGTTTTTTTTTTTTTAGAGAGAACTTTTTATCTTCAATTGATGCATAATCAATCATCCCGTGATAGCTAATACTTCCTGTAAAACTGAACCACCCCAGGCAATTTGTTTAGTGTAGTAATTTTTTAGTAAAGACTACTAGGCAAATTATTTTAAATGACAACATGATTGTTTAGCCTAATGGAGTAAAACCTGCCACACTTTTTCCCCAGCTCGATGTACTTTGATGAGGATGGTGACCTTGCTCATGAATTTTATTGTCAAGTTTTTGATAGAAATACCAACAAGGTTGTGATGCAAAAGTACAGTGGTGATTTAAAACCTCAGGTAAATAAGCTAGCTAATCATTCATCATTTTCAAGTTATATACCATTATAAATACAAATGCAACTTTTCTCAATTAATATATCTGGCATGAACAGTAAAGATAATATCTGCTTTTGCCATTGTGCTCTAATTTGAGCATAGTATTATCATGTTTAGCAAATAAGTTTTGACTTTCACAAACTTTTACTAGCATGCTGATTTAGATTAACTTCAGAAAATTAGTTAATTCATGCATGATCAGCTGTTATTCATTGAATAAGAGCTTTTTGTGGCTGCCCTGTGTATCCTGTGCACAGAAAAGATGATGATGATTCATTGAATAAAGCATACTTGTTTAGATTTTGTTTTAAATCAGAAAAAAATTGTAATTTCACCATCTCTCTTGTTTCACATCTTGACAAAGATTCTGGGTTTCAGTTTGTGATAAACCCCTTCACCATGGCTTTTTCATTAATGTGTAGCTTACTTAAAGCAGAAGTAGTTCTTATTTATTTGTGTTTCTTAATTCCCTTCATCTTTTTTTAATTCTAAGGGTGACATTGATCTACCATATCCAAGGCTGCATGGTGATTTGCCTGTAATTTTATTTGACACAACAAGTCTTCAGATGCACGCTTCTAATCAAACGCGATGACCATTATAGCATGGGGCTATTTGTTCTCATTACGGTATTAGGCAATAGCTCTCTTAAAGAACATTGAAGCAGTTTCTTGATGCAGACAGAACAGAAAATAAGTTTCTCATCAAACAGTAGTAATTGTATAAATCTAGTTTATTTTGTGTCAAAATAATTGTTTTAACCAGTGGTGAGGATTATTTTGTCAATAATAAATTAATCTACTCATTCAAAACAAGAAACTCTAAAAATAGTTTCCTTCATAATTCACATAGTAATTGTTTGTTGGCATTTAACATTTTATTTTCTTAGTCAAAATCTATAATATAAAATTCTATTATAAAAACCATAGACTAAAAAATGTAACAAAATAGCTGTAGTTATGTTTCTACTGATGTATATAGTATTTATAAGAGCTCTAGCTAAAGTCAAAGGCAATTACTTTTTCCTTCATCAGCAAGTTCAATCAAACATTTTTTTTACTATTGTGATAAATGTCTTAAAATACTTCGATATTTCTGCCATTGAATTTTATTTGTATAGCAAGTTTTTGAGACATGTATTCTGTATATCCAATCTGATAAAACATTTGATCATTGTACATGTGCCATTTATGTTTACAATGTAAACAGCTACTGCTTGTCTAGACTATTCATTGAAATGCTGTGTAATTGGTCTTCTAACCAAATAAATTCATTGGATGATTCACGTATTGCTGTTTTAATTCATTTATTTAAGTTGTTTTAGTAATGTTGCTTTATTTATTCTTTTATTTACAATTATTTACAAGTTTTTATCAATGTGAACATCACTTGCTGTTATTGTTTTAGTAAAAAGCTGTCTTTCAGTGCCTTGTTTAATGTGCTTCTTCAGTACAGTGAGTCTTTTGTAACATTAATGATCATTAATTTAGCCCAGATTAAGCTTCATGAGATTGGGGTACCAAGAAGTAAATTTGAAATAAAATGTTAATGTGAAATTATTTATAGTACTGATAAGTTGAAAGTTAAAATATGTTGCAGCAATTGTCTATATTGGGCTGCTGATTATAGGCTTTGATGCTTTTTATCAATTATTTTACAGTAATTATTATGAATACCCTTGTGAAATCAAATCATTTAGATTTTTTTAAATTAGAAATATTCTCATTCAATCTACATTGACTTGTTTTGTGTTGCTCTACATCAAAAAAGATTTTTTTCCTGCATTTGATTCCTGATCTTCTCCATTCCACTCAGATGTTTGATACAAGCATTAATTACTTTACCGAAACAGTTATTACAGGTAACACAAATGGAACCTTCATAAAAAAACTGTTTCCGTTATATATAACTGTTTAAGTTGTATATATATATATATATATATATATAAACGTTTGGGTTAAAGTTTAAAAAACAAGAAATGTTAATAAAATTAATATAGGAAGAAAAAGCCAAACAGAGATACTCATAGTTAGTATAGGTATCAGAAGGGAGTTATAGTAGGTTATAACCACGGTTAGCGCTTAATGAGTAGTAAACTTCACTAATAAATTATTAATATGTCATGGTAGAAGTCATTACACAATAGGAATGATTTCAATTTATCATTTTTTTTCAACAAAAGTCAATTTTATTTAAAGGCCCTAGGTTTGAATAGTTCGAATGTGCAAATAGCTCACAGCCAACAATGTAATAAATTCTTTGTACTAAAGAGACAACAGTGTTTTATACTTTAAGTTATTTTAGTAGTTTTTTAAGATATTAATATGTTATGTAAATCACAAGTGATAGAATTTGACAATTTTAAAAGGAATTTATCTGGCAAATCACGTTACTAACAATATCACATGATCAATAAAGATGGCAACCTCCACAAAATTAAAATTTAGAAACAAAAATTTGTTTTTTATGATATTCGCTTTATTTCTGCTTGCTCAAAAAGCACTGTGTTATGAACCTACTTGGGAATCCCTTGACTCTAGACCTCTGCCATCTTGGTACGATGAGGCAAAGCTTGGTATTTTCATTCATTGGGGAGTATTTTCTGTTCCAAGTTATTCTTCCGAATGGTTTTGGTGGAACTGGCAAGGACAGCCTACTCCGGCAATTGTGGATTTTATGGCTTCAAATTATAGACCAGATTTTACATATGCTGATTTTGCTGAAGATTTTACTGCCGAGTTTTTTAATGCACAAGAATGGTTGAAAATGTTTCAAAGCTCTGGTGCAAAGTAAGCAATTTGAATTGGGGTTAATTGAATAATGGACACGAGCGAGAAAAGTCTCAAAGGTATTTGAGAGGTGTATAAATTCATTTAAAAATCATGCACAGCGTAGTTACAATTAATATGGTTATAAAATCCTGCCTGTCTGGTTTTTTTCGGACTTTACTAAAGATTGGATGTATTTGATGTTTATAATATTTTCGGTAACTAAATAAAAATGAAAAAAAAAGCAAAAACAATTTGGTTTTCACGTGTAATGGCGACATAAACAATGGCATCCTGCTATTGGATAGGCCGCCATTGATTTTATTGTACACATTGTAAGCTAAAAATAGAAAACTAGGTCATGGGGTTTTAAATTTGCATTGTAATTTAAAAACTTGATCTGCAAAGTTTTGTAAACAAATAGTTATCGATCACTAAGTTACTGTACAGCCAATCAATATTTGTCTTACGAAAGTGAAACATCCGGTTATAACTTAGGCTTGATGAAAATAAATAGAAATGTAGCCTTAAACTCAACAAATTATTTTCAAGTTCTCTGGATTTGCAACTTTTATAACATTTATTCTAAAAATATAAAATTTCTAAATTAATTTTAGGCTTAAGTTTTTTTTTTTTTTTTTCTTACGGTCTAAATCTAAAAAAGCACGTTTTTATTCCATGTCAACAACATTGGGGACGGAATCTCGTCAACTCGCTTGTCTCCATTGGCATTTTTTAGTTAGCTAGGGGGGGGGGGGGGGGGGGGAGGGCCTATTTAATTTAATAAATATTATTATGTAGGCTCAGAGTTTCTTCCAGGCATCTCTTCAGGGGGGGGGGGGGAGGGAGGGAGGAGCCCACCCGAAGAAAGTCTAGCCGCCCCCCCCCCCCCCCCCCCAAACAAAATGGAATTTATATAGGGCCTATAGGCCTAGCAAACATACTTTTACCGTCCGTCCCCCCCCCCCCCCCCCTGAAAATATCAAGTGCCCCACCCGCCCTGGAGAAAAAGTCTGGAAGAAACAGTGTAGGCCTATGTAATTAATTACTAATTAAGTCTACTATAATTACTTTTTTTAGGCCTATTAAGTTATAATTCATAACTTAAGTCTAAGTAGTAGCCTACTTACGAGTAGGTATTTTTATGTTCAAACACCAAATTGAAAGTGTCTTGGTAAAATGTAAAAAAAGGGCGAGGTGGTAAAATGCTCGAAGGATTCAAAAACGGCGGTCACTTTATATGTTTATTCAGTTTATCTTGCATTTGCCCCCAACCGACTGGTAAGCTTGATGGTGGGTAAATTGTGTTGATATCTGAAAAACTTGTAACTTACCCATATTCCAATATGCTGATGATTTACATGAGCTTTGATGCAGACTTTATTTTTAACCATTAATGTCCCATTCATTCTACCAAAACTCCACCCATGACGGCCCAATGTAAGGAGCATAACTCTGTATGATCAAGTGAATAGTTTCACAAAACATTTGTTTTTGTCTAAATGAAATAGAAAATTAAGATAAAAACTACTGCTTGATGTTGGGAATAAACCTGGCTTTCCAACAGTATTAAATAGAATATATTATATTCGGTACAAGTTCAGTATAAAAATAAAAAATGTCGGAGAAAATTCAAAACAGGTCATTTTCGGTAGTCAACTTTATTTATTTTTGTCTAAACAACTATGCATCGAATTTAACAAATAAATATCAATTTGGTTATGTTTAAGATATATAATTCATAAAATACATGCCTAGATACGTTTAGAGGCATTATTTTATTTTATTTTTAATATTAAATCTACTAAAAATACGACAGATGAGTCTAAAATTTCGAGATAGAAAGAAACTATTATTTTTTATCTTTCAAAAGCGCCATTGAAATTAGAAGACCGGAAAAGGATGGTGAAACTATCCGACTTCCTGTTTAGTTAAAAATTAGGATTTGTAGGCCAAATTTTAATGAAACAAATTTAATTTTTCTATGCGTATTGTAAGCGGGCGGCAGCGGGCGTTACGGGACATTAACGGTGTCGGGCGGCAGCGGGCGTTACGGGACATTAATGGTTAAATTTTATTTTTATTAAAGATTATATTGTTATAATATAGCTGCACCACCAGAAACAAATGCTAATCTTGCATGCATGATAATAGGTCTATAAGCTTCTGTGAACTCACAATAATCCTAAGTGATATCTCAAAGTCAAAAAGATCCCTCAAACACAAGCACGAAGCCATAATAATATCTTGCAAATTGTATCTCGCTATTTACATAATTCTTCAGGTAGGTCCCACAGCTACCTCTAGCATTTTACTACCTTGCTGCTTACCATTTTTTAAACTGAATTGCCAAGCTAGCAATGTATTAGACTACCAGTTATCATTAGTGACTAAATTAGGGTAGCATTTAATGATTTGTTATTATAAAAAACTATGGTAATGTATTTAGCACTCAAGAGCACATAAATGAATACTTTAGGCATATATAAGACTTAAATTTGGCCTTGTTAGTCTACATCAACATCATTATTAAGTATCTTTGCCATTATGATTAGTAAGCTATGATTGTATTGAGTTAATGAAGTAGAGTTAAGCCACCTTTGTGGCTAGAACATGCCCTTTGGACTTGACTAAAGAAAAGTACCCATCTTTAAGAGCCAGGAATGAGAAGCAAAATTACTAAAATTATTGTCCAATTAAAAAAATTAACTTAAATTATAAATTTAAAAATTTAAATAGCAGGTACAACAGTAAAATTTATTTTTTAGTTATGATTACCTACATTGTATTATATTATTATTTTTAGTGAACGGCATAAATTTTAGGCCGATTCTAGTCGGAATAAGATACGCATGCGATACGCATGCGCAATGGAGAGAAACTACGACTTGCCTTAGCGGCGATGTTTTCGATGGCACTGCGCATGCGTGTGTTTACAACCGCAGAACCCTAATACCAACCCTAATCCTATCCTTAAACCTATTCCTAATCCTATCCCTAACCCTAGCCCTAATCCTAACCCTAACCCTAGCCCTAATCCTATCCCTAACCCTAGCCCTAATCCTATCCCTAACCCTATCCCTAATCCTACCCCTAACCCTCATTCTAGCCCTAACCCTAGCCATAGGTCACTGCGCATGCGCAGAACTATCTTTTGCCGAAAAATCTTATTCCGAGTAGACACTTCGTAAATTTTATCCTATTATCGTTGTTTGATAACAATGCAATGCAATATCTCCCAGGTACATCGTGTTTGTTAGCAAACACCACGAGGGATACACCAACTGGCCATCCAAGTATTCTTTTAACTGGAACTCTGCAGCCGTTGGGCCAGGACGAGATATTGTTGGTATGGAGTTTAGTTTTAATGCTGCGGTTTACATAATGAATTCAAGTTAAATATCATTCAAAAATAAATTAATGTGATGCTGCAAAGTTGATTAATATTTACAATTAAATTGATTTTATGTTTTTATTTTTGTAACCAATGATGCTAGGTTTTAAAAAAAAATTTATAATTATAATATAGATGGGATGGTATCTAGATCTACTATTTATCAATATACCTGGAAGTTGTTGAAGAAAATATTAAGATTCTTGAATTTTAACTTCCTTTTTAAAAATATGACAGTAGAATTTACTCTAAAGTTGTTCGGTGATAGAATAAAAAATTTTTTTTTGTGAAAACATTCATACAGGTGAGCTTATGAATGCAACACGTCAAAATACAGACCTGAGGTTTGGCTTGTACCACTCATTGTTTGAGTGGTTTCACCCCCTCTATGTGGCTGACAAGAACTCAGGTTTCAAAACTCAGGACTTTGTCAATGTAAGCTTCATACTAACATTACAATATAACACTCTTTAAAAATATCTTGTTTATTGAAAAAAAATAGCTTGTGATTTTATGGCCATTAATCAGTGAATAAAGCACATTTTGGAGCAGTCTGGGATATTAAATCCCAAAGCTATGAGAATATTGTCCCATGACTCATTAGTTTATTTATCAAGCTTATGCTGAAGGATAAATATTATTTACTGAGTAACTGAGGCATAGAAGTGCCCATTATACTAGGTTAAATAATATGCTTTAGATATACAGTTAAACAAAATGGGTAATTATAACCTCTACATACGGTTAAGGTTAATTGGTCTGTGTCAGCAACTTCATTAAATTTAAATTGATTAAATGTTGAAATATCAGCAAATTTCAATTGATTAAATGTTGAAATATCAGCAAATTTAAATTGATTAAATTTTGAAATATCAACAAATTTTAATTGATTAAATGTTGAAATATCAGCAAATTTCAATTGATTAAATTCTGAAATATCAGCAAATCTCAATTGATTAAATTCTGAAATATCAGCAAATGTCAATTGATTAAATTCTGAAATATCTGCAAATTTTGATTAAATTCTGCAATATCTGCAAATTTTGATTAAATTCCAAAATATCAGCAAATTTCAATTGATTAAATTCCAAAATATCAGCAAATTTCAATTGATTAATTTTTAAAATATCAGCACATTTCAATTGGTTAATTTTTAAAATATCAGCAAATTTTAATTAATTAACTTTTGAAATATCAGCAAATTTCAATTGATTAACTTTTAAAATATCAGCAAATTTCAATTGATTAAATTCTGAAATATCAGCAATTTTCAATTGGTTTAATTTTTAAAATATCAGCAATTTTCAATTGGTTTAAATTTTGAAATTTCAGCAAATTTCAATTGATTAAATTCTGAAATATCAGCAAATTTCAATTGATTAAATTCTGAAATATCAGCAATTTTCAATTGGTTTAATTTTTAAAATATCAGCAATTTTCAATTGGTTTAAATTTTGAAATTTCAGCAAAAAACTTTGCCGGAGCTGTACGAGATAGTCAACACCTACAAGCCAGAGGTGGTTTGGTCTGATGGGGACTGGGACGCCCCTGACATGTACTGGAAGTCTAAGGAGTTTCTGGCCTGGCTTTACACTGATAGGTAAACATTTGTTCCAGCTTTTTATTGGTAAACAGTTGTTCCAGTTTTTGATTGGGAAACATTTGCTCCAGTTTTTGATAGGTAAACATTTGTGCCAGTTTATGATTGGTGAACATTTGTGCCAGTTGGTTTTTGGTAGGTAAACATTGCTATTTTTTGCCTTGGTGTCACCCCTCTAAATGGTGTCACCCGGTGCGGACCGCACCCCGCGCCCCCCGCCCCCCCTCCTCGCTACGCCTCTGATTACACTTGTGGGTCCAGTTAAAGTAAAGTTTCTTTTCAAACCTGCTGGTCCATGGGGCAAGTGAAGTAGAGTTCACCTGTTTCTGTGACATTGACATATGAACAGATAGTTGGTCCAGTTGTTAAAGAAAAATTCCATTTTGAACCTTACAGCATATCAAGGGATAGTGTGGTCAGCACTCTGTTCTGGTCTAGTGATTACTGCCCAACAAACCACAAACACACACATGCACACACAGAACTGAGGGAGATAACCTACAAATAAGGGACACAATGCACATGTAATAATGAAACAAATATAAAAAAAAACCTTTATAGTTATAGCAACAAGCTTTTAAATGCACTGAAATGAAGAGAATAAAACTAATTTGTTTTCTTTCATAAAAGTTTTTGTTGTGGCTAAAATATGTAAAAGATTTCATGAGTGTTGTTCACTAATTTTAAGCTTGTGATATAATAAGATAATTTATTTTCAAATCTACAAATATAAACTAAAAACACATTTTATTACCCTTGGTGTTTTTTTTTGTGTGATAGCCCAGTTAAGGACACAGTGGTTGTGAATGACAGGTGGGGTCAGAACATTTCCTGTAATCATGGTGGGGTGTACACCTGTGGTGACAGGTACAATCCAGGTGAGTCTTTGTGTCTTGGGGGTCTTGATAGGGTCATATATCTATAGGTACAATCCAGGTGAGTCTTTGTGTCTTGGGGGTCTTGATAGGGTCATATATCTATAGGTACAATCCAGGTGAGTCTTTGTGTCTTGGGGGTCTTGATAGGGTCATATATCTATAGGTACAATCCAGGTGAGTCTTTGTGTCTTGGGGGTCTTGATAGGGTCATATATCTATAGGTACAATCCAGGTGAGTCTTTGTGTCTTGGGGGTCTTGATAGGGTCATATATCTATAGGTACAATCCAGGTGAGTCTTGGGGGTCTTGATAGGGTCATATATCTATAGGTACAATCCAGGTGAGTCTTTGTGTCTTGGGGGTCTTGATAGGGTCATATATCTATAGGTACAATCCAGGTGAGTCTTTGTGTCTTGGGGGTCCTGATAGGGTCATATATCTATAGGTACAATCCAGGTGAGTCTGTGTCTTGGGGGTCTTGATAGGGTCATATATCTATAGGTACAATCCAGGTGAGTCTTTGTGTCTTGGGGGTCTTGATAGGGTCATATATCTATAGGTACAATCCAGGTGAGTCTTTGTGTCTTGGGGGTCTTGATAGGGTCATATATCTATAGGTACAATCCAGGTGAGTCTTTGTGTCTTGGGGGTCTTGATAGGGTCATATATCTATAGGTACAATCCAGGTGAGTCTTTGTGTCTTGGGGGTCTTGATAGGGTCATATATCTATAGGTACAATCCAGGTGAGTCTTTGTGTCTTGGGGGTCTTGATAGGTGTTAACGGTAAAAGATAATAATTGGTACCGTATAATATTGATAACCTGTAAAATGGATGAATTCAACCGGTAAGAGGGTCTGTGCCGCTTCTTTACCGGGAATATAGATTCTAGCGGTAATATTATTAAGGTCTGATGACTAAGGGTCAATTCAATGCCCAGAGTTTACAGCCTTATTAGAATAATAATGGGTGTTACCAGGTCCGATGACCTCTTGTCTCTGGCAAGGGTTTACGGCCGGTGAATAAAATAAAATAGCAGGTCCGATGACTACGGGTCAACTCAATGCCCGCAGTTTACGGCCTGTAGTAAAATAGAATGAGGCTGTGTATAATATAATATCTACTGCTCCGTGGCTGATACACGTGCAGGATAAAAGTAGTAAAAAAGGTAACTGAAATATCTACTCAACTGCCACGAGGAATTAAGTCACAGGCAGGAATAGTTTAGGTCAAATAAGTATTCAAATGCCCTGGGTGCTAAGACACGGGCAGTGTAAAGTTTAGTTTAGTAAATCAGGTAAGTTATCAACTGTCACATGGACTAAGCCACGAACATGGTAACCGTGTACAGTAACAGTATGTAAGTAATAATGCATAACAGCAAGATAATATATATGATATTTATTGACTACTTGTTACAATGGTAATCAAATATGCATATCAAAACTGGTACAGTGAAAATAAGAAATAATTAAGTAAAACCAAACCCAAAACACGTGGAGGTCGGGCCGACGGCCCCAACGCCGCGTGCGACACCACCAGCTGAGCTCAGTGCTGGAAAAGTGCGAGATTTCTTTGTTGCATCCCCTTATATGCCTTAACATTGGCGGTGTGTCACGTGGACAATCTAGCCAACTAGAGAGGAGCCTGTGAGGGGGACGAAAGATAAGAATGTACGTAGTTGTATAGAGGGGGGGGGAAGTATAGAGCAGGTAAGGGGTGGTGTAAGAATAACGTGGAGCTAGGCCTAAACGGTTTTACCGTCACACCCCCTTTCCTCGCTAAAATTTCGTGGTAACGCAATTTTCAGCGGACCAGAAATAAAACAATATCTTTTCATGTGTCTTTCAAAGTATAGTTAAGCAAAAAAATGTAAATAACAATGTCTTTAGACGAAAATTAATAACATTGAAACATAGGCCATTTACAGGCAAAATGAGTAAACATTGGCCATGATAGGCGAGTACAACATCAATTACAACATTGTGATATGCCATTAGAGGCTATAGAAAACAAAAATTGTTTTTATGTAAATTGTAATAAGACAACGGTGAATAATGACATTTTTTTGTTCAGTATAAGTTTACATTGTATTCAGGAAATTAACTAACGCCAAGTTCTGTTTTAGAAGTATGACAACCAGGTCTAAGAAGTCAGTGGAAACCTGTGAAAAATACTGCAAGAACAAGGGAAAAACAACGAATTTATGACATAGATATGAAGTTATGAGTACATAAGATATGACAATTATAAATGTCCTTGGAATTTTTTTAAAAGTATTGCTTGTGTAAAAAAATATATATCAAAGTAAGTCATAACAAGCTTCACTATTGTTAAACTGGGCAGCTTGCATCAATTAAGTGCAAGGCTGGAATAGAGCTAAGTTCAGGCAATCGACCATGACTTACTAAGAAATTCCACCCTAAGTCTAACTAGCTAAGTTACGCTTAGTGACTTGTCGAAACTCAGTATGGGGTGGGTGGCAAAAGGTGAAGCACCAGTAATGTGAGATGGGTAGACCACGGCACAACAGCTATAGAGCAGGCGGCACGTCTACCGATAACTTAGGCCGGTGTCCTTGGACCATTGTTTTATCAAGGTGTGTGTGGGTGGGCGGGGTTTTGGACCCAGAGCGATTCTTCTCTCGTCGGCGAATTTTTTTCCATTAGCGAGGGGCTTGTAAGGTTTAGTATGTAGACCTATGGTGGGTAGAACCATGGGGCCGATAAGGCTGACAGTGGTTGGTTTGTTGTTTTGTCTCCTCGGCTCTTGACGTGCTGTGTAATTAAGGTCGACCGGAGCATCCGGTGTTGTGTTTATTGATGATACAGTCGGGGCAGGGGAAGTAATTTTAATTAAGTCTCTTTTATGGCTCAGTGTAGCATCATGATTCTGAATATCTGGTAGGGTTGGTGTGTCGGGTGTAGTTGCGGGTGTTGGTTTAGGTTCTATGGTCATGTTTTTCAGCTGCTCAAGCATAGCCTGCTCGGCCATCTGCAAGCGTGCTTTCGTTTCTGTCATTCTTTTTATTCGTTCCTTAAAAATAATAATTCTCTCAGCTATTGATATGCTGGTATCTTTTAGCATCTCGTCTTCTTGTTTTTCTATTGTTTCGATACTACCCCATTCCGATCGTTCAAATTCATAGAACTTGGCCTCTATAGCCCATTTTCTCTCTTTTAATTGAATTTCTTCCTCCCACTGCAGCTCATTTAATCGTTCTTCTTCGTCTAATCTTCTTCGTTCCTCTTCTTCGTGTAAGTCCTCTAAATTCTCTTGGTGTCTTTGTCTTCTTCGTTCCTCTTCTTCATGTAAGTCTTCTAAATTCTCTTGGTATCTTTGTTTTCTTCGTTCCTCTTCTTCATGTAAGTCCTCTAAATTCTCTTGGTATCTTTGTCTTCTTCGTTCCTCTTCTTCATGTAAGTCCTCTAAATTCTCTTGGTATTTTTGTCTTCTTCGTTCCTCTTCTTCATGTAAGTCTTCTAAATTCTCTTGGTATCTTTGTTTTCTTCGTTCCTCTTCTTCGTGTAAGTCTTCTAAATTTTCTTGGTATCTTTGTTTTCTTCGTTCCTCTTCTTCGTGTAAGTCTTCTAAATTTTCTTGGTATCTTTGTTTTCTTCGTTCCTCTTCTTCATGTAAGTCTTCTAAATTCTCTTGGTATCTTTGTTTAACAAATGCACTGAGTGCCGCCCCTTCGTAGCCATAGTCAATGGCGTACCTGATAAGGGCGGGGATGCTAGTGGAGCCACTCATTATGCAGCCTGGCTAGGACGTTGACACGGGTAACGTGACACGCGTGTGCTCAAGCCGTGTACCGGGTTACGCTTAACAATAACACCAAGTAACTAAGAGAAAAGTATTTGACAGACTAGGCTAACAGAAGTAGGCCTATTCTACAAATAATAGACTACTAAGGTAACTACAAGAATTGGAGACCAGTTTTAAAATTAAAACTAAAGGAATCAACGTAGTAAGTCAGAGTCAAAAGCTAAAACTTGACACTTAGCTACAATTCCAGTGGTCTTGCCCTTCTTGTGCAGCCGTCAGTTGTACAGAATACTTCTTGACCAGGTAGCAATAACACACAGAAATATTTTTTCTGAAAATTCAAAGTAAACAACAGCAGTAAAATTCAAATATGTGAAACAGCAGGATTTATTCAAATACGAGTGGCTAACTCGTGTCTAGTATTTAGTTTGACGAGCCCCCATGTTAACGGTAAAAGATAATAATTGGTACCGTATAATATTGATAACCTGTAAAATGGATGAATTCAACCGGTAAGAGGGTCTGTGCCGCTTCTTTACCGGGAATATAGATTCTAGCGGTAATATTATTAAGGTCTGATGACTAAGGGTCAATTCAATGCCCAGAGTTTACAGCCTTATTAGAATAATAATGGGTGTTACCAGGTCCGATGACCTCTTGTCTCTGGCAAGGGTTTACGGCCGGTGAATAAAATAAAATAGCAGGTCCGATGACTACGGGTCAACTCAATGCCCGCAGTTTACGGCCTGTAGTAAAATAGAATGAGGCTGTGTATAATATAATATCTACTGCTCCGTGGCTGATACACGTGCAGGATAAAAGTAGTAAAAAAGGTAACTGAAATATCTACTCAACTGCCACGAGGAATTAAGTCACAGGCAGGAATAGTTTAGGTCAAATAAGTATTCAAATGCCCTGGGTGCTAAGACACGGGCAGTGTAAAGTTTAGTTAAGTAAATCAGGTAAGTTATCAACTGTCACATGGACTAAGCCACGAACATGGTAACCGTGTACAGTAACAGTATGTAAGTAATAATGCATAACAGCAAGATAATATATATGATATTTATTGACTACTTGTTACAATGGTAATCAAATATGCATATCAAAACTGGTACAGTGAAAATAAGAAATAATTAAGTAAAACCAAACCCAAAACACGTGGAGGTCGGGCCGACGGCCCCAACGCCGCGTGCGACACCACCAGCTGAGCTCAGTGCTGGAAAAGTGCGAGATTTCTTTGTTGCATCCCCTTATATGCCTTAACATTGGCGGTGTGTCACGTGGACAATCTAGCCAACTAGAGAGGAGCCTGTGAGGGGGACGAAAGATAAGAATGTACGTAGTTGTATAGAGGGGGGGGGAAGTATAGAGCAGGTAAGGGGTGGTGTAAGAATAACGTGGAGCTAGGCCTAAACGGTTTTACCGTCACAATAGGGTCATATATCTATAGGTACAATCCAGGTGAGTCTGTGTCTTGGGGATCTTGATAGGGTCATATATCTATAGGTACAATCCAGGTGAGTCTGTGTCTTGGGGGTCTTGATAGGGTCATATATCTATAGGTACAATCCAGGTGAGTCTGTGTCTTGGGGGTCTTGATAGGGTCATATATCTATAGGTACAATCCAGGTGAGTCTGTGTCTTGGGGATCTTGATAGGGTCATATGTCTATAGGTACAATCCAGGTGAGTCTGTGTCTTGGGGATCTTGATAGGGTCATATATCTATAGGTACAATCCAGGTGAGTCTTTGTGTCTTGGGGGTCTTGATAGGGTCATATATCTATAGGTACAATCCAGGTGAGTCTGTGTCTTGGGGATCTTGCTAGGGTCATATATCTATAGGTAAAATCCAGGTGAGTCTGTGTCTTGGGGGTCTTGATAGGGTCATATATCTATAGGTACAATCCAGGTGAGTCTGTGTCTTGGGGATCTTGATAGGGTCATATATCTATAGGTACAATCCAGGTGAGTCTGTGTCTTGGGGATCTTGATAGGGTCATATATCTATAGGTACAATCCAGGTGAGTCTTTGTGTCTTGGGGGTCTTGATAGGGTCATATATCTATAGGTACAATCCAGGTGAGTCTGTGTCTTGGGGGTCTTGATAGGGTCATATATCTATAGGTACAATCCAGGTGAGTCTTTGTGTCTTGGGGGTCTTGCTAGGGTCATACATCTATAGGTACAATCCAGGTGAGTCTTTGTGTCTTGGGGGTCTTGATAGGGTCATATATCTATAGGTACAATCCAGGTGAGTCTGTGTCTTGGGGATCTTGATAGGGTCATATATCTATAGGTACAATCCAGGTGAGTCTGTGTCTTGGGGGTCTTGATAGGGTCATATATCTATAGGTACAATCCAGGTGTCTGTGTCTTGGGGATCTTGATAGGGTCATATATCTATAGGTACAATCCAGGTGAGTCTTTGTGTCTTGGGGGTCTTGATAGGGTCATATATCTATAGGTACAATCCAGGTGAGTCTTTGTGTCTTGGGGGTCTTGATAGGGTCATATATCTATAGGTACAATCCAGGTGAGTCTGTGTCTTGGGGATCTTGATAGGGTCATATATCTATAGGTACAATCCAGGTGAGTCTGTGTCTTGGGGGTCTTGATAGGGTCATATATCTATAGGTACAATCCAGGTGAGTCTTTGTGTCTTGGGGGTCTTGATAGGGTCATACATCTATAGGTATAATCCAGGTGAGTCTTTGTGTCTTGGGGGTCTTGCTAGGGTCATACATCTATAGGTACAATCCAGGTGAGTCTTTGTGTCTTGGGGGTCTTGATAGGGTCATATATCTATAGGTACAATCCAGGTGTCTGTGTCTTGGGGATCTTGCTAGGGTCATATATCTATAGGTACAATCCAGGTGAGTCTGTGTCTTGGGGGTCTTGATAGGGTCATACATCTATAGGTACAATCCAGGTGAGTCTTTGTGTCTTGGGGGTCTTGCTAGGGTCATACATCTATAGGTACAATCCAGGTGAGTCTTTGTGTCTTGGGGGTCTTGATAGGGTCATATATCTATAGGTACAATCCAGGTGAGTCTTTGTGTCTTGGGGGTCTTAATAGGGTCATACATCTATAGGTACAATCCAGGTGAGTCTTTGTGTCTTGGGGGTCTTGATAGGGTCATAAATCTATAGGTATAATCCAGGTGAGTCTTTGTGTCTTTGGGGTCTTGCTAGGGTCATACATCTATAGGTACAATCCAGGTGAGTCTTTGTGTCTTGGGGGTCTTGATAGGGTCATACATCTATAGGTACAATCCAGGTGAGTCTTTGTCTTGGGGGTCTTAATAGGGTCATACATCTATAGGTACAATCCAGGTGAGTCTTTGTGTCTTGGGGGTCTTGATAGGGTCATAAATTCATAGGTACAATCCAGGTGAGTCTTTGTGTCTTGGGAGGTCTTGCTAGGGTCATACATCTATAGGTATAATCCAGGTGAGTCTGTGTCTTGGGGGTCTTGATAGGGTCATACATCTATAGGTATAATCCAGGTGAGTCTGTGTCTTGGGGGTCTTGATAGGGTCATACATCTATAGGTATAATCCAGGTGAGTCTGTGTCTTGGGGATCTTGATAGGGTCATATATCTATAGGTACAATCCAGGTGAGTCTGTGTCTTGGGGGTCTTGATAGGGTCATATATCTATAGGTACAATCCAGGTGAGTCTGTGTCTTGGGGATCTTGATAGGGTCATATATCTATAGGTACAATCCAGGTGAGTCTGTGTCTTGGGGGTCTTGATAGGGTCATACATCTATAGGTACAATCCAGGTGAGTCTTTGTGTCTTGGGGGTCTTGCTAGGGTCATATATCTATAGGTACAATCCAGGTGGGTCTTTGTGTCTTGGGGGTCTTGATAGGGTCATACATCTATAGGTACAATCCAGGTGAGTCTTTGTGTCTTGGGGGTCTTGCTAGGGTCATATATCTATAGGTACAATCCAGGTGAGTCTGTGTCTTGGGGGTCTTGATAGGGTCATACATCTATAGGTACAATCCAGGTGAGTCTTTGTGTCTTGGGGGTCTTGATAGGGTCATACATCTATAGGTACAATCCAGGTGAGTCTTGTGTCTTGGGAGGTCTTGATAGGGTCATAAATCTATAGGTACAATCCAGGTGAGTCTTTGTGTCTTGGGAGGTCTTGCTAGGGTCATACATCTATAGGTATAATCCAGGTGAGTCTTGGGGGTCTTGATAGGGTCATACATCTATAGGTACAATCCAGGTGAGTCTTTGTGTCTTGGGGGTCTTGCTAGGGTCATACATCTATAGGTACAATCCAGGTGAGTCTTGTGTCTTGGGAGGTCTTGCTAGGGTCATACATCTATAGGTACAATCCAGGTGAGTCTGTGTCTTGGGAGGTCTTGCTAGGGTCATACATCTATAGGTACAATCCAGGTGAGTCTTTGTGTCTTGGGGGTCTTGCTAGGGTCATACATCTATAGGTATAATCTAGGTGAGTCTTGTGTCTTTGGAGTTCTTGCTAGGGTCATACATCTATAGGTACAATCCAGGTGAGTCTTTGTGTCTTGGGGGTCTTGATAGGGTCATACATCTATAGGTACAATCCAGGTGAGTCTTTGTGTCTTGGGGGTCTTGCTAGGGTCATACATCTATAGGTACAATCCAGGTGAGTCTTTGTGTCTTGGGGGTCTTGCTAGGGTCATATATCTATAGGTATAATCCAGGTGAGTCTGTGTCTTGGGGGTCTTGATAGGGTCATATATCTATAGGTACAATCTAGGTGAGTCTTGTGTCTTTGGAGTTCTTGCTAGGGTCATACATCTATAGGTACAATCCAGGTGAGTCTTTGTGTCTTGGGGGTCTTGATAGGGTCATACATCTATAGGTACAATCCAGGTGAGTCTTTGTGTCTTGGGGGTCTTGCTAGGGTCATACATCTATAGGTACAATCCAGGTGAGTCTTTGTGTCTTGGGGGTCTTGCTAGGGTCATACATCTATAGGTACAATCCAGGTGAGTCTGTGTCTTGGGGGTCTTGATAGGGTCATACATCTATAGGTATAATCCAGGTGAGTCTGTGTCTTGGGGGTCTTGCTAGGGTCATACATCTATATGTACAATCCAGGTGAGTCTGTGTCTTGGGGGGTCTTGATAGGGTCATATATCTATAGGTACAATCCAGGTGAGTCTGTGTCTTGGGGGGTCTTGATAGGGTCATATATCTATAGGTACAATCCAGGTGAGTCTGTGTCTTGGGGGGTCTTGATAGGGTCATATATCTATAGGTATAATCCAGGTGAGTCTTGGGGGGTCTTGATAGGGTCATATATCTATAGGTATAATCCAGGTGAGTCTTGGGGGGTCTTGATAGGGTCATATATCTATAGGTATAATCCAGGTGAGTCTGTGTCTTGGGGGTCTTGATAGGGTCATATATCTATAGGTACAATCCAGGTGAGTCTTTGTGTCTTGGGGGTCTTGATAGGGTCATATATCTATAGGTACAATCCAGGTGAGTCTTTGTGTCTTGGGGGTCTTGATAGGGTCATATATCTATAGGTACAATCCAGGTGAGTCTGTGTCTTGGGGATCTTGATAGGGTCATATATCTATAGGTACAATCCAGGTGAGTCTGTGTCTTGGGGGTCTTGATAGGGTCATACATCTATAGGTACAATCCAGGTGAGTCTTGTGTCTTTGGAGTTCTTGCTAGGGTCATATATCTATATGTATAATCCAGGTGAGTCTGTGTCTTGGGGGTCTTGATAGGGTCATACATCTATAGGTACAATCCAGGTGAGTCTTTGTGTCTTGGGGGTCTTGCTAGGGTCATACATCTATAGGTACAATCCAGGTGAGTCTTTGTGTCTTGGGGGTCTTGATAGGGTCATACATCTATAGGTATAATCCAGGTGAGTCTTGGGGGTCTTGATAGGGTCATACATCTATAGGTACAATCCAGGTGAGTCTGTGTCTTGGGGGTCTTGATAGGGTCATACATCTATAGGTATAATCCAGGTGAGTCTTGGGGGTCTTGATAGGGTCATACATCTATAGGTATAATCCAGGTGAGTCTTGGGGGTCTTGATAGGGTCATACATCTATAGGTACAATCCAGGTGAGTCTGTGTCTTGGGGGTCTTGATAGGGTCATACATCTATAGGTATAATCCAGGTGAGTCTTGGGGGTCTTGATAGGGTCATACATCTATAGGTATAATCCAGGTGAGTCTTGGGGGTCTTGATAGGGTCATACATCTATAGGTACAATCCAGGTGAGTCTGTGTCTTGGGGGTCTTGATAGGGTCATACATCTATAGGTATAATCCAGGTGAGTCTTGGGGGTCTTGATAGGGTCATACATCTATAGGTATAATCCAGGTGAGTCTTGGGGGTCTTGATAGGGTCATACATCTATAGGTACAATCCAGGTGAGTCTGTGTCTTGGGGGTCTTGATAGGGTCATACATCTATAGGTACAATCCAGGTGAGTCTTTGTGTCTTGGGGGTCTTGATAGGGTCATAAATCTATAGGTATAATCCAGGTGAGTCTTTGTGTCTTTGGGGTCTTGCTAGGGTCATACATCTATAGGTACAATCCAGGTGAGTCTTTGTGTCTTGGGGGTCTTGATAGGGTCATACATCTATAGGTACAATCCAGGTGAGTCTGTGTCTTGGGGGTCTTAAAAGGGTCATACATCTATAGGTACAATCCAGGTGAGTCTTTGTCTTGGGGGTCTTAATAGGGTCATACATCTATAGGTACAATCCAGGTGAGTCTTTGTGTCTTGGGGGTCTTGATAGGGTCATAAATTCATAGGTACAATCCAGGTGAGTCTTTGTGTCTTGGGAGGTCTTGCTAGGGTCATACATCTATAGGTATAATCCAGGTGAGTCTGTGTCTTGGGGGTCTTGATAGGGTCATACATCTATAGGTATAATCCAGGTGAGTCTGTGTCTTGGGGGTCTTGATAGGGTCATACATCTATAGGTATAATCCAGGTGAGTCTGTGTCTTGGGGATCTTGATAGGGTCATATATCTATAGGTACAATCCAGGTGAGTCTGTGTCTTGGGGGTCTTGATAGGGTCATATATCTATAGGTACAATCCAGGTGAGTCTGTGTCTTGGGGATCTTGATAGGGTCATATATCTATAGGTACAATCCAGGTGAGTCTGTGTCTTGGGGGTCTTGATAGGGTCATACATCTATAGGTACAATCCAGGTGAGTCTTTGTGTCTTGGGGGTCTTGCTAGGGTCATATATCTATAGGTACAATCCAGGTGAGTCTTTGTGTCTTGGGGGTCTTGATAGGGTCATACATCTATAGGTACAATCCAGGTGAGTCTTTGTGTCTTGGGGGTCTTGCTAGGGTCATATATCTATAGGTACAATCCAGGTGAGTCTGTGTCTTGGGGGTCTTGATAGGGTCATACATCTATAGGTACAATCCAGGTGAGTCTTTGTGTCTTGGGGGTCTTGATAGGGTCATACATCTATAGGTACAATCCAGGTGAGTCTTGTGTCTTGGGAGGTCTTGATAGGGTCATAAATCTATAGGTACAATCCAGGTGAGTCTTTGTGTCTTGGGAGGTCTTGCTAGGGTCATACATCTATAGGTATAATCCAGGTGAGTCTTGGGGGTCTTGATAGGGTCATACATCTATAGGTACAATCCAGGTGAGTCTTTGTGTCTTGGGGGTCTTGCTAGGGTCATACATCTATAGGTACAATCCAGGTGAGTCTTGTGTCTTGGGAGGTCTTGCTAGGGTCATACATCTATAGGTACAATCCAGGTGAGTCTTGGGGGGTCTTGCTAGGGTCATGTATCTATAAAGTTTCAGCTGTTGTAGGTCTTGCTAGGGTCATCCATTCAGTACTGTGCTTTAATTTTCATTTCCTCTATTCTATGTATTGACCTTTGACCAGTGTTGATCAAACCTTTTTGTTAACTTAAAATTGTGTTTATAAGATTCCTTACATAAAAAAACTCACCTCCACACTACTCTTTTACAATTGTAGTTCTGAGATATTTTATTGTTGTTTCTTTAAACTATGAATCTCTTATAACTTCTAGGTGAATTGAATTTCTATATATTATTACATGTCATGTCAGGTTTTGATAGTGTTTATTACACGCATGGAGTTTGTTTAAAGCTGGTTTAGATATGATCGTCTTTTCAAAACGTTCAAGTCAATTGCAATGTTTTGGATAAAATAGTATTATATTTAGCTAATTTCACATGGTAAAGTCATGTACATTTAGATGTAATAGAATTTTAAATGTATTTATTTTGGCACCTGTTCTAAAATGATAGGTGTACTATAGAAACACAAATGTTTGTTTTATAATGACACGAGTACTACTAAAACATGTACTAGAAAAACACAAATGTTGTTTTATAATGATATGTGTACTACAGAAATACAAATGTTGTTTTATAATGCTAGGAGTACTACAGAAACACAAATGTTGTTTTATAATGATATGTGTACTACAGAAATACAAATGTTGTTTGTATAATGATATGTGTACTACAGAAATACAAATGTTGTTTTATAATGATATGTGTACTACAGAAATACAAATGTTGTTATACAAGTGTTGTTTTATAATGATATGTGTACTACAGAAATACAAATGTTGTTTTATAATGATATGTGTACTACAGAAATACAAATGTTGTTTGTATAATGATATGTGTACTACAGAAATACAAATGTTGTTTTATAATGATATGCGTACTGCAAAAACACAAATGTTGTTTTATAATGCTAGGAGTACTACAGAAACACAAGTGGGTCAATGCAATGACCATTGACAAGTATTCCTGGGGTTATCGCAGGAATGCCCACCTGTCTGATTACCTGACCATTGAAGAACTGCTGCAAACATTTGTCATGACAGTCAGGTAGGCAAACCTCCACCCACTCCACCCCCACAATGATGGTTGTCATAAGTTGTCATCACAGTTTGGTAGGCAAACCTCCACCCCTCCCCCACCCACCCCCACAATGTTTGGCACAGTCTGTGTCATCTATTAGGTAGGTAACCTCCCCCCACCCACCCACCCCCACAATGATGTTTGGCACAGTCTGTGTCATCTATTAGGTAGGTAACCTCCCCCCACCCACCCACCCCCACAATGATGTTTGACACAGTCTGTGTCATCTATTAGGTAGGTAACCTCCCATCACCACCACCCCCCCCAGCTTGATGGTTGTCATAATTTGTGTCATCAATAAGTAAGATAGCCTCACACACCAGCCATACATTATTTTAGCTGGGTGCTAAGAGAACATAGTTCTAATGTAATTTAGTTGGTCAAAATAAGTCAAGATTGCTAGAAAAGTAGGTCTACTTTAGTGTGTCAAATTAAGTCAAGATTGCTGGAAAAGTATGTCTACTTTAGTGGGTCAAACCAAGCGGTTTTAAATTGGTTGACCATACTTGGTAGTTGAAAGGAATTCTGCAACTCTCCAGCTGGCTTTTACAAAGTGAGTTTGTTTGTTCCAAGTTTCCACTGGAGACTTGAACAGATTAGAACTCAACTATTGAACTAACAAACTAATCAAGCTAATATTTGAACCCGATTGTCCATGGGGCAGGTGAAGTAGAGTTTACCTGTTTCTGTGATCTCAGCTAATGAAGGGACAGTGCGGTCAACACTATGCACAGCTACTTTTACTTTCCTAAATGCAAGTCAGAGCTGGGTGGACTCAGGGGCTTCTTACAGAGTTGAGTCCAAGATCCAAACTTGAGAGTTTTGTGATACCAGTCATGTACTCTACCATTCCACCATGCCATCCCTAACTGACATTCAAGCCTTAAATTTAAAGTAAAAAAATTCTAAAGCTATCAAAATATGAATGTCTTGTTTATTAACGTAGCTGTGGGGGCAACATGTTGATGAATGTGGGCCCGCCGAAACACGGCCACATAGACCCAATCTACGAGGAGCGCCTGGTACAGATGGGGACCTGGCTCAAGGTCAATGGTGAGGGAATCTACAGCACTCAACCTTGGACGTACCAAAATGATACGCTCACAAAAAATGTCTGGTGAGTTGGTGTTTAATTTCTCCACGTTGTGTTCATAGTTTGGTCCGGTTCAGTTGTTTAAGCATGGAAGGTTTGAGATGACGTGAAATTAATTTTGTGAAAATATAATGCTTTTACTCCACGTAAAAAGTGGCTGGGCATAATGCTGACCATATTATCCCTTCATATACCGAGTTCAAGAAACATGAACTACACTTTATCAGTCTAATGGATGGCTAGGTCTAAATAGGAATCTTTTTTTTTACATTACTAATTACTAAGCTTTTTTAAGGTAGCATTGAGGTAATTGAATATGGTAATAGAAAAGTACATTCCATACGGTTTATATAAAGCTGCAGGGTATTTTAGTAAGATGAACCTTCGTTACCTGATACACTGATTTATTAAAGCATTTGAAAATATTTTATTCCAAAGCCCTTAATTATTCATCAAAGCCTTCAATTAATCTATTTGAATTATTTCATCTTAACAAAGATTTAACTTTCTTTTAATTATTTAATGAAAATTAAATTTTTTCCTTTGTGGCGAACATTCCACCACAATTTTTAACGAGGGCAGTTTTTAGAATAAATTATTTACACTAATACTTCCTTAAAGAATATAATTTCTACAAGGAAAAACGAGAATTTGTTTTATTTTTTTTATAAGAAACATTGCTATGCATCATATTTCTGACTCAAAAAAAAAAATTCTCTGTTAGTTACAAAAAGTAGTCATTAATTCATATTTCTCTTGATTCTTGACCAAAAAAATTTATTCCACCAGAAAGTCCTTTAAATGTTTAATTTTGTTTGCGTGGTCGAGTCGGTAAAGCTCATGGTTGCTAAACCGAAAAGTCTCGAGTTCGAACCCTCGGGCAGATGAGGCTCGTTAGCTGGGGACAGCCACTCTTCTAGGAGAGACAACTCCAAAATTAAACAACTGCTGCCTTGTAGTTTGTTCTTGGTTGGACAAAGGCTATGGAAGCAAATCCAAAAAGAAAAGCAGGCTGAAATTGGAGTCAATGGCCTCAATAACCAGTTGACACATAACGCTTAATTGTGTTGGAGGCGTGGTCGAGTCGGCAAAAAGCGCATGGTTGATAAATTTAAACAAAGTCTCGAGTTCAAACCCACTGGCAGATAAATCTCGATCCCCTTCAACACTAATAATTAAGAACGAAGAAGAAGAAGAAGAAGTTGAAGCATACTTTAAAGTATTTAGTTAGTCTATAAAAGATTTTAAATTTTAATATCTGAGTCATTTCCCAATTTTTCCTGAGAAGCAAATTTTTCATGTCAGCTTTTTCTGTGAAATAGGGATTTCACCACTTGGCATGTCTAGACTAATTGTTTTGTTTTGTTTTCTTTTTTAAAAAATTCAAATAGTTTTTACATTAATCTTTTAAAAACTTCAAATGTTGCACAAATTACAAAAATATAATCATTTTTCAAAAAAAGAACTAAATTCTTTCTAAATGTAATCAAAGTAAACTTAAACCTATGCTCCATCTGTTAAAATATTAATCTAGTGGCTTCATATCCATTGTTTCATTTTTTTTTAAAAATGAATTTTTAAAATTCCAGGTACACAATGAAAAAAGGGGAGAAGAGCACAGATATTTATGCCTTTATTTTCAACTGGCCGAGCACTTCCGTTCTGTCCCTGGCCAGACCGACGGCCTCGGCTGCCACCACGGTCTCCCTGCTGGGGTACCCTGGCAACCTGAACTACAACACCCGGCAACCCACTGGCCTTGACATTATAATTCCAGCTGTGCCGGTCAACAAGATGCCCTGCGATTGGTTGTGGACGCTCAAGATAACCTCTGTGGCTAATTAACGCTGGGTGTCGCCGGGCTCGATGGTTAACATTCCATGGTAAACTGTAAAGGTTGTCTGCACATTGTTTTTATTTTTTTGTGTAAGACGAAACTCCCTGTAATCTTGTTCTGAAATTAAAATATTGCTCATCTGACAGCTAAAAAAAATTGTTTTTTATGAAATTATTTTCATCCAATTAAAACAATTTCATATTTCTTCTAATGTACATGCACAATGTGTTTTATTGATATTTAAATACAAAGTAAATTTTTTTTTGTATTTTCTTCTTCTTCTTCTGCGTTATTAATTAAGTATATGATGGAGGATTTAAACAACAAGCCCAACTTTGTGTATGAACTGGACTGTGGTCTCCAGATCAGCGGGGGCCCATTTAGTTTTTCCTTGAGTGGGGTGTATAGGGGCCAGTGTTTACTTCTTATTTGATTTGTTTTAAAGTGGTTTAATGAAAATGGGGGTAAAATTAGCATGACACAGATATAAAACTGTAGAATTCCATTGTGACATTGTTATCAAATCTGCAGCTAAGGGAGGTAAATGAGTCATGTGTAACATGGGAGATAACAAATGTTCCAGGCTGTTTACCAACTGGATTTTTTGTTTGTTGCAAAACATTTTTTTTAATTTAGAAGAGTTTTTTTTTATCTTTGTTTACTTTGTACAGACAATCATATTTGTTTTTCTTTTTTTGTAACCGAAAAGACTTTTCCCTAAAAACTTTTTAATTGTATTTTGTAAAGTCAATTTGCTCATTTTTGAAGATTTATTTTTCTTGTATTTAAGGTGCAATATAATTTATGTTACTGGCAATTTTTCAAATTTTTTTATCAATGAGGTAAATAAAAAGAGGAAAATTAAGTTTGTAAACCTGTTAGAAATTGTATTTTAGTTATTTTATTTCTGTTATATTTACTTAATTAGTTTAATCAGAGTATATATTTTCTTGTGATATTTTAAAAGAAGTTGTTTTTATATTATCAAAAAGGGTGATAGTTTGTTCTCAATCTTAACTAAACTATCACTTGTAAAAATCCTAAAAAAATAAAAATATATTTTATACTTATGAAAATTTCTGTTTTTTTATTTCTTTTACTTACTTAGTGTTTATTAAATAGTTAATTACTATAACTCTCTTCTTGTATGTGTACATGTGTGTGTAATATGTGTACTCTGCTTATGTGCTATGTTGTCGTAATTTTATTCAGCTAAAATGTATTAAAGATATAGGAATTCTACTGCCATAACTGAAACAATGTTTTATTTGTCATTTTAAAAAGCTGGTAGCTGTACACAGTGGTCTCCTTGTGATGACATGTTTGGTCTCCTTGTGATGACATCTGTACACAGTGGTCTCCTTGTGATGACATGTGTGGTCTGCTTGTAATGACATCTGTACACAGTGGTCTCCTTGTGATGACATGTTTGGTCTCCTTGTGATGACATCTGTACACAGTGGTCTCCTTGTGATGACATGTGTGGTCTGCTTGTAATGACATCTGTACACAGTGGTCTCCTTGTGATGACATGTTTGGTCTCCTTGTGATGACATCTGTACACAGTGGTCTCCTTGTGATGACATGTGTGGTCTGCTTGTAATGACATCTGTACACAGTGGTCTCCTTGTGATGACATGTTTGGTCTCCTTGTGATGACATCTGTACACAGTGGTCTCCTTGTGATGACATGTGTGGTCTGCTTGTAATGACATCTGTACACAGTGGTCTACATGTGATGACATGTTTGGTCTCCCTGTGATGACATCTGTACACAGTGGTCTCCTTGTGATGACATGTGTGGTCTGCTTGTAATGACATCTGTACACAGTGGTCTCCTTGTGATGACATGTTTGGTCTCCTTGTGATGACATCTGTACACAGTGGTCTCCTTGTGATGACATGTGTGGTCTGCTTGTAATGACATCTGTACACAGTGGTCTCCTTGTGATGACATGTGTGGTCTGCTTGTAATGACATCTGTACACAGTGGTCTCCTTGTGATGACATGTTTGGTCTGCTTGTAATGACATCTGTACACAGTGGTCTCCCTGTGATGACATCTGTACACAGTGGTCTCCTTGTGATGACATCTGTACACAGTGGTCTCCTTGTGATGACATGTGTGGTCTCCTTGTGATGACATCTGTACACAGTGGTCTCCTTGTGATGACATGTGTGGTCTCCTTGTGATGACATCTGTACACAGTGGTCTCCTTGTGATGACATGTGTGGTCTCCTTGTGATGACATCTGTACACAGTGGTCTCCTTGTGATGACATGTGTGGTCTGCTTGTAATGACATCTGTACACAGTGGTCTCCTTGTGATGACATGTGTGGTCTGCTTGTAATGACATCTGTACACAGTGGTCTCCTTGTGATGACATGTTTGGTCTCCTTGTGATGACATCTGTACACAGTGGTCTCCTTGTGATGACATGTGTGGTCTGCTTGTAATGACATCTGTACACAGTGGTCTCCTTGTGATGACATGTTTGGTCTCCCTGTGATGACATCTGTACACAGTGGTCTCCTTGTGATGACATGTGTGGTCTGCTTGTAATGACATCTGTACACAGTGGTCTCCTTGTGATGACATGTTTGGTCTCCTTGTGATGACATCTGTACACAGTGGTCTCCTTGTGATGACATGTGTGGTCTGCTTGTAATGACATCTGTACACAGTGGTCTACATGTGATGACATGTTTGGTCTCCCTGTGATGACATCTGTACACAGTGGTCTCCTTGTGATGACATGTGTGGTCTGCTTGTAATGACATCTGTACACAGTGGTCTCCTTGTGATGACATGTTTGGTCTCCTTGTGATGACATCTGTACACAGTGGTCTCCTTGTGATGACATGTGTGGTCTGCTTGTAATGACATCTGTACACAGTGGTCTCCTTGTGATGACATGTGTGGTCTGCTTGTAATGACATCTGTACACAGTGTTCTCCCTGTGATGACATCTGTACACAGTGGTCTACATGTGATGACATGTGTGGTCTCCTTGTAATGACATCTCTACACAGTGGTCTACATGTGATGACATATTTGGTCTCCCTGTGATGACATCTGTACACAGTGGTCTCCTTGTGATGACATCTGTACACAGTGGTCTCCTTGTGATGACATCTGTACACAGTGGTCTCCTTGTGATGACATGTTTGGTCTCCCTGTGATGACATATGTACACAGTGGTCTCCTTGTGATGACATGTTTGGTCTCCTTGTGATGACATGTTTGGTCTCCTTGTGATGACATGTTTGGTCTCCCTGTGATGACATCTGTACACAGTGGTCTCCTTGTGATGACATGTTTGGTCTCCTTGTGATGACATGTTTGGTCTCCCTGTGATGACATCTGTACACAGTGGTCTCCTTGTGATGACATGTTTGGTCTCCTTGTGATGACATGTTTGGTCTCCTTGTGATGACATGTTTGGTCTCCTTGTGATGACACGTTTGGTCTCCTTGTGATGACATCTGTACACAGTGGTCTCCTTGTGATGACATGTTTGGTCTCCCTGTGATGACATGTTTGGTCTCCCTGTGATGACATGTTTGGTCTCCTTGTGATGACATGTTTGGTCTCCTTGTGATGACATGTTTGGTCTCCCTGTGATGACATCTGTACACAGTGGTCTCCTTGTGATGACATCTGTACACAGTGGTCTCCTTGTGATGACATGTGTGGTCTCCTTGTGATGACATCTGTACACAGTGGTCTCCTTGTGATGCCATGTGTGGTCTGCTTGTAATGACATCTGTACACAGTGGTCTCCTTGTGATGACATGTTTGGTCTCCTTGTGATGACATCTGTACACAGTGGTCTCCTTGTGATGACATGTGTGGTCTGCTTGTAATGACATCTGTACACAGTGGTCTCCTTGTGATGACATGTTTGGTCTCCTTGTGATGACATCTGTACACAGTGGTCTCCTTGTGATGACATGTGTGGTCTGCTTGTAATGACATCTGTACACAGTGGTCTCCTTGTGATGACATGTGTGGTCTGCTTGTAATGACATCTGTACACAGTGGTCTCCTTGTGATGACATCTGTACACAGTGGTCTCCTTGTGATGACATCTGTACACAGTGGTCTCCTTGTGATGACATGTTTGGTCTCCTTGTGATGACATGTTTGGTCTCCCTGTGATGACATCTGTACACAGTGGTCTCCTTGTGATGACATCTGTACACAGTGGTCTCCTTGTGATGACATCTGTACACAGTGGTCTCCTTGTGATGACATGTTTGGTCTCCCTGTGATGACATCTGTACACAGTGGTCTCCTTGTGATGACATGTGTGGTCTGCTTGTAATGACATCTGTACACAGTGGTCTCCTTGTGATGACATGTGTGGTCTGCTTGTAATGACATCTGTACACAGTGGTCTCCTTGTGATGACATGTGTGGTCTGCTTGTAATGACATCTGTACACAGTGGTCTACATGTGATGACATGTTTGGTCTCCCTGTGATGACATCTGTACACAGTGGTCTCCTTGTGATGACATCTGTACACAGTGGTCTCCATGTGATGACATGTGTGGTCTGCTTGTAATGACATCTCTACACAGTAGTTTCCTAATTAACTGTGACCGTTCAACACTAAAAACTCTTACTTTCTCATGCGCACTAACGCACTAAATTAAGGCGAGCTTTCTCTTTAAAACCAGACAATAAAATGAACAACTGCAAACAAATTTCCCTATTCAGACATCTTTATTGCTGCCATGTTTCTCCAAATCAAAATAATTTGAAAATTATACTAAGCAAAGACCTATATATTAATAATAAAACATTTCAAAATTTCTTTCTTCTACACGATTTGATCTAAATATAATTTATTCTACCTTAATCTACCTTAAAAGTTTTCAAATGTTTTTCTTGTGGTTCTGGGCGATAGTCTCCTTCACATCAAGACATCTTGTACCAATATAAGAATGTTTTTGGTTGGTAGATAGCAGTCCATATCTTTAAAACAAAGCGGATAACTCTTGTTTCACGTACAATATTCGCAAAGATCAGCAGTCAGAAGCCACGAACGGACCAAATTACAAACCTACAAAAAATAAAACACGAGACTTGAAGCCACTGCTCGTACATTTCTTTTATTACTTGTTACATTCTATTTTTTTCTGGCAAACAAGAAGTGGAGTTTATTTGCCGATGAACTCTGGGATATGTTCTTTGAACCTCTGCGACAAGGCTTGGGACAACCGCTTTCGAAGTTCGGGATTCTGGAGAATAGCAGCCAATCTCTCGGAAACACCCGGTCCCAGTTCTTCCGATCTTTTACCCAAGAATTCTGAATACCTTTTCATTGCGCTGATGTCTCCTGCAGAGCTGGGTGCGTTCGGACTATGTCCCACAATTCCAAAGCCATCGTCGAATTCGTATGCGGGTCGTTTACCTAAAAAGTCGTATCTTTTCCCAAGGAAATCGTACGATTTTTTCCCAAGGAAGTCGTAGGATTTTTTCCCGAGGAAATCGTATGGAGCACGTTTGCCCACGAAATCGTATCTTTTCCCAATGAAATCGTACGGTCGGCGTTTCCCTAGAAAGTCGTACCTTTTCCCCAGGAAGTCGTATCTTTTCCCGACAAATTCGTACTGTCGCTTGATCGAATCCATGGTGTGAAGTAACCGTCGGAGCTGGTTCCAGTAGGTAGCTTTACTGATGGAATCCGCTCGGTCGCTCGACACATCTCTTTCATCCTCAGCTTCATCGTTCGCCTCTGAGTACCCACTGCGTTTGCCGACAAACTCGGTGAATCTTTTGGCCACTAGCTGCCCGGGGGCGTCAGACTCCGGACCCTGACTGACAAAACCCCCGTCCCCCTTGAGAGCGGCGTCCTGCTTGTCTGTTGGTTCTTCGAATGAAGGTTCCTCCACCACGTCGAACGGACCCTTCTCGTCGTCCAGTGAAGGTTCAATGGACATGCCCTGTGACCTGAGATCCCGTTTGACGGGTGATGTGTTCTCTGCCTCTGTCGACAGCAACACAAAAATGGTCACGTGAGAAACAACAGAGAAACTTTATTTAAAGGTATCTTGTCATTTTCTAATCATATTACCTTTTCCTACCATCTTAGTCTTCAATCTTTCAATAACTTTAATTCCAGCAATTACTTTAATTCTAGCTGTAACTTATTTTCTAAGAATAACTTTTATTGTAGCCTCGACTCTTACTTATATTCCTGTACTAACATACATTCTAATAAAATAATTTTAATAACTTTTACTCTAGCCGTAACCTTTTGAGACGACTTAACGATTCTCCCTACTAGTAGATATCAACTTTGTTGTTCATGCTCTAATAGGAAAATAAGCGAATACATTATCAAACGAATATCAAATCTTAATATAAACCACACCTCTTAATACAAAAAACTTACTATGTAGTGAACATCACAATTGAAATTTTAAACAAACATAAAATCTTAGAATATTAATGGATTATTGGTTTAGTTTTTTCAATTAGCGTGCGAAAACAGTGTTACCTCATTGCTTGCCGTCTGCGTGGCGGTCGCCTGCTGCGATCTCGGTGCTGCATCGCTGCCATGTGTACTTGCCTGCCGCATGCCCACATGTTGTGCCGCTTGCCCAACGTTTGTGCCGCTTGCCCAAATTTTGGGCTGCATGATCATCTTTTATGCCGCATGACCGTCGTTTGTGCAGCACGCCCAACTTTTGTGCAGCACGCCCAACTTTTGTGCAGCACGCCCAACTTTTGTGCAGCACGCCCAACTTTTGTGCAGCACGCCCAACTTTTGTGCCGCTTTATTTCTGCTCAATGCTGCATGACAGTCCCTCTAGCTGTCATATCAGAACCCACGCTGCATGACCGACTTGAAGTTTGTTTCGTCGCATCAAAAAATAAAAATAAAAGTGCACTACTCTTTTCCTAACTAGCGCGTGCGCTAAATCGATGCGCAGCCTGGCCCAGCAGCCTCAGTCTAAATATAAATATCTGACATAAAGAAAGACTATATTAAAAAACAGAGAGTGCGACCCCCCCCCCCGTCTTTTGATCGTGATTAAGGGTAAGATTTTTAAAAAAATGTAACTAATAGCACTGATAACCCAAAGCAAGTGATAAATAAAGCTTGTACTAGCTAGAAGAGTCCACACCTGTAGTCACAGAGGCAGTAGAGTTTCCGATTGGTAATTAAGTTGTATATTTATGGTGTGATATTTTAACAGTTTTGTAACAAGACAAAGCGAATAAATGAACACATTTGTATTCTATTTTTTCACTCATTCCGTTTAATATGTTAGTCTCAATGAATATTAGAACCTATTTTTGCATTCAATAAAATACAGGAGCAAGGAGTAAAGATCATATTTTTGTACTCTTATTTTGGTGTTACTTTTAACTGCAGTAGAAATAAAAGAAACGAAACAATACATGCCAATAGAATTCAAATTTTTGTTTCGAGTCGAAGATCAGCCTAAAGCTGGAGAACTTTCAAAATGGTGGCATCTAGCTACCGGCTGTCTTCTTCTGCTTCTTGGGCGTCTTCTGTTGTCGTCTGCAAGTCTTGAAGACTTCTGAGGTATGGAACAACCTCTCTGAGACTCATCATATAGTCGGCGTCATCGATCTGATCAAAGCTATCGTTTACCCCGTACAGGTCATCAAATTCATTTTCGTCACGTTTTCCGACAAATCTTGGCGCTCCGCGTTTTCCGACAAATCTGGGCGCTCCTCGTTTTCCAACGAATCTTGGGGGTCCCCTTTTCCCGACGAATCTTGGAGGTCCCCTTTTCCCGACGAATCTGGGTGCCCCGCGCTTGTCGAATAAGTCCGAGTCTTCTGTCTCGTCCAGTACACGCTTGCCAACAAAGTACGGATCCGTTCTCCGGAAAGTTTCCTTGAACTCTTGCGCCGACAGGTAGGGGGAGGACGATGTTCTGCCGGGGGACAGGTAATACCCGGAACGTTTCCCGATAAAGAAAGGGGCGCCGCGCGCGCTGTACGCCCGCTTCTCATCCAAACTTTTCTTCCCGATGAAGTAGGGAGCCGACCTCTTGTCTAAGCGATGGTTGTCGCTAAGTATACCGCTACTGACCTCTTCGCTCGACCGTTTCTGAATAGCGTCATTGGCACTCCTGCCTACAAACCTGGGCGCGCCTCTGGAAGCAAGAGACACAAAGTCGTCAGCATCGCTTGCGCTGCTGGCGGGCGCGTCCCTCGGGCTCAGCGCTGAGGGGTAGCTAGAGCGAGGGGGGAGGAGCGAGTGGAGGGGCTGCTGCTGGGGCGCGGGTGAGAGGCCGCCTTCAGAAGCGCTTTGCGAATCTGGAATCAGAACAATGCAGTAAAAGTACCCGTCTCTAGAACAGTTCAGGTACCTGTCAAGAACAGTAAAAGTACTTGTCTCTAGAACAATTTAGGTACCCGTCTCTAGAACAATGCAGTAAAAGTACCCGTCTCTAGAACAGTTCAGGTACCTGTCTATAGAACAGTAAAAGTCCATGTCTCTAGAACAGTAAAAGTACCCGTCTCTAGAACAGTTCAGGTACCTGTCTCTAGAACAATGCAGTAGAAGTACCCGTCTCTAGAACAATTTAGGTACCTGTCTATAGAACAGTAAAAGTGCCCGTCTCTAGAACAGTAAAATTACCCTCTCTAGAACAGTAAAAGTACCCTCTCAAGAACAGTAAAAGTACTCGTCTCTAGAACAGTAAAAGTACCCTCTCAAGAACAGTAAAAGTACTCGTCTCTAGAACAGTAAAATTACCCTCTCTAGAACAGTAAAAGTACCCTCTCAAGAACAGTAAAAGTACTCGTCTCTAGAACAGTAAAAGTACCCTCTCAAGAACAGTAAAAGTACTCGTCTCTAGAACAGTAAAATTACCCTCTCTAGAACAGTAAAAGTACCCTCTCTAGAACAGTAAAAGTCCATGTCTATAGAACAGTAAAAGTACCCTCTCAAGCACAGTAAATGCACTCGTCTCTAGAACAGTAAAATTACCCTCTCTAGAACAGTAAAAGTACTAGTCTCTAGAACAGTTCAGGTACGTGCCTCTAGAACAGTAAAAGTACCTGTCTCAAGCACAGTAAAAGCACTCGTCTCTACAACAGTTCAGGTACGTGCCTCTAGAACAGTAAAAGTACTCGTCTCTACAACAGTTCAGGTACGTGCCTCTAGAACAGTAAAAGCACTCGTCTCTACAACAGTTCAGGTACGTGCCTCTAGAACAGTAAAAGTACTCGTCTCTACAACAGTTCAGGTACGTGCCTCTAGAACAGTAAAAGTACTCGTCTCTACAACAGTTCAGGTACGTGCCTCTAGGACAGTAAATGTACTCGTCTCTACAACAGTTCAGGTACGTGCCTCTAGAACAGTAAAAGTACTCGTCTCTACAACAGTTCAGGTACGTGCCTCTAGAACAGTAAAAGTACTCGTCTCTACAACAGTTCAGGTACGTGCCTCTAGAACAGTAAATGTCGCTGTTTCTAGAATAGGTTAGGTGCTCAAACCTAGGCCATAACGACTTACCTGTTAATTGGAATACTGGGAGAGTGGGAATTTCGTACACTACATACACATACACTTTTATATAAACACACGCGGATCTTGTAACCCCCCCCCCCCCCCTAAAAGTTTTGGATGGAAATTTGGTTAAAAAAATGATTTAATTAATTTATTTTCTATTGTTGGTGTTACTTAATACATTTGACCGAAGATGTGAGGCTTAGCCGTACCCCTACACTCTAGAAACATAAGTAATCACCTGAGCTCTTTATATATATATATATATATATATATATATATATATATATATATATATATATATATATATATATATATATATATACATCTATATATATATATATATATACATCTATATATATATATATATATATATATATATATACATATATATACTTCTATAAAATATAGGACCTTTGACCACAGGTGCTTTGACCATAGGGGGTTTGACCATAGGGGGTTTGACCACAGCGGAGCTTTGACCATAGGGGCTTTGACCATAGGAGGTTTGACCACAGAGGGGCTTTGACCATAGCGGTGCTTTGACCATAGGGGGTTTGATCATAGGGGGTTTGACCATAGGGGGTTTGACCACATGTGTTTTCTCAGCAGAGGGTCTTTGATCACAGTTGGTCTATCAACGGGTGTTTGATTACAAGCGCTGTGTCCGGCTTCGATCATAGGTGTTTTGTCCACATAGGGTCTTTGATCTCTGGTGGTTTGTCCAATGCTGTCCATATATGGTAAGGATTTATTTTAAAAGTTGCTAAATTATATTTTAAATTTCGACATAATGTAATAATATGGTCAAACAGATGTACTGACATATTTGCGTGCTATAGCACATCTGTCATTTAGTTAACCAATTTACGTATTACATCTTTGACTATATTGTTGGCAAGTTTTGTATCATTTTTTTATCTTTTATATATGCTATGTATTTTCAAGTACTTCTACATTATTTATTTGTGAAACTTGTTATATGTCGCATTATTTGTGTTTCATTTATATTTAAAATAAATCTATGAGGCCTAGCACCAGCCTTTATGTGGAGACTAAAATATAGTTCTTGGCTTTTTTTAAATACATGTTAATTTCTATTAACGTACTCTCAGGAAACATGTATAAAATCGTGTTAATTGTATCACACCTATGATCAAAGCCGGACACAGCGCTTGTGATCAAATACCCGTTGATAGACCACCTGTGATCAAAGACCCTCTGCTGAGAAAACACCTGTGGTCAAACCCCCTATGGTCAAACCCCCTATGATCAAACCCCCTATGGTCAAAGCACCGCTATGGTCAAAGCCCCGCTGTGGTCAAACCCCCTATGGTCAAAGCCCCTATGGTCAAAGCTCCGCTGTGGTCAAACCCCCTATGGTCAAACCCCCTATGGTCAAAGCACCTGTGGTCAAAGGTCCGCGCACCACAAATAATTAGGTATTTTAAAAAAAAAAACGTTTATTGAGAAGAAACATCTTTGAAAAATAGACACTTGGTTGAAATTATTTTAAATGATCATCTTTCTCTATCACGAAATATAATCACGTAGAAAGAGTGACGCCACGTTGTTATATTTCAAAAGTAATGTTAGAAACTGAATATTAGCCGTCTGTCGCATTTTTAACAGATTTTTTTTTTTTTTGTATAATGTAAAATAAATTAATTTTCAATGTAGCTAGCAAATATTTTTAGGAAAGGCAAATAACGACGTTTTAAAAACAAAACAATAGCAGTTTTAAGGGGGTGGAACTATAGGATGAAAAGGTCTTTTTTTTTTGTTGGGTTGCTGTGTGTGACGTTGTGTGACTGTGGGGGAAGGGGGAGGGGGAAATTTAAGTTAGAAAGCATGACGTAGCATATTGATGAAACCCATAATAAAAACTAATAAAAAGTTTACAATGTTGATTCATGTTCTAGTTTATTCGAGGCACTTAACATGCTAATACTTTATTTTTTAAGGCATAACACTATTTATTGTGCATTGAACAGCTACGGAGTCTAACAGGCAGCCACTGAAATCAATAAGTACCCGACCACCGACCGACTAACCAGCACATAATGTGTTTAGAATCTCGCGCTAAATGACGTGCTTTGTATGCGACACTCGTCTGAGCTTAATCAGACGGCAGACATGTTTCAAAGCTGTCGTCCACTTCCGGTTTTTGTCCCGGCGTTTAGGTCATGTGATTGTTAAACCAATAGTCTAATTGTGCTTCCGGTTCAGTTTTTTTGTTATTCGATTGATGAAGCACCAAGTGTTTGTTGACTTGATTACACACGAGGTAAATAAGTTTACACGACCGAGTTACTCGCATGAGTAACTTGTATATTTATAGCAGAGTTTCTTCCAGGCATCTCTTCGGTGGGGGGGGGGGGGTCAGAGACCCCCGAAGAAAGTCTACCGCCCCACCCCCTCCCCCTCACACCCCCCCCCCCCCCTTAACGAAATGGAATTTATATACAAAACATACTTTTACCAGTTTCCGCCCCCCCCCCCCATGGAGAAAAAAATCTGGAAAAAACATTGATTTATAGGCGGTGTTGTAGAACTGAATTTATTTAGGTAGGTAAATCAAGAGAGATTGCATTTACTAATGCAAAGAAAAATGCATGCAAATAAAAAATTCTATAGTAGCAGTTTGAATTTATAGTTAAATCCCTGGTCGTTTTAAACGAGAAAAGTCTAATTATGTAACTTGAAACTCGTATGAAAAAATAATCGCCAAAAATATTGTTGAAAAGTGTGAGGTGAGCTAAGTAGTTGGCCCTTTTTCGAAGCTTTTGGTTGCTTTTTTAGAAGAAAGATTCTCAACCTGTGTTCGATCGAACCCCAGGGATTCGGTGAGTCAGTCTCAGGGGTTCGGTGGATGTCAAGACACACACCCGACTCATATAATTCACGATCGGGTTTTATCAGTGCAGACGATAGAACTTTCAAGAAGGGTTCGGTGAATGCGCGTATGAAACTGGTTGGGTTCGGTACCTTCAAAGAGTTGATGGACCAATTACTCATCGAAGTTTAAATTGTGATTTTAATTAGAAATTTCATTAATGAACGTTTGAAAAATGATATATAAGATGTTGGTATGATACTATTATCCCAAATTTAAAAAAAAGTTCTTTAAAAAATCCGTTAAGCTTTTTAACTGGCTCTATAGTTGTTGTTGTTGTGTGGGTTAAGACCAATTGCTGTTGTTAAGAGTGTTAAGACAATGTTACTGTTGTGAGAGTTAAGACAATGTTGCTGTTGTGTGTGTTAGAACGAAATGTTGCTGCTGTGTGTATTAGAACGAAATGTTGCTGTTGTATGTGTTAGAACGAAATGTTGCTGTTGTGTGTGTTAGAACGAAATGTCGATGTTGTGTGTGTTAGAACGAAATGTCGATGTTCTATGTGTTAGAACGAAATGTTACTGTTGTATGTGTCAGAACGAAATGTCGATGTTCTATGTGTTAGAACGAAATGTTGCTGTTGTGTGTGTTAGAACGAAATGTTGCTGTTGTATGTGTCAGAACGAAATGTTGCTGTTGTATGTGTCAGAACGAAATGTTGCTGTTGTATGTGTCAGAACGAAATGTTGCTGTTGTATGTGTCAGAACGAAATGTCGATGTTCTATGTGTTAGAACGAAATGTTACTGTTGTATGTGTCAGAACGAAATGTCGATGTTCTATGTGTTAGAACGAAATGTTACTGTTGTATGTGTTAGAACGAAATGTCGATGTTGTGTGTGTTAGAACGAAATGTCGATGTTCTATGTGTCAGAACGAAATGTTGCTGTTGTATGTGTCAGAACGAAATGTCGATGTTGTGTGTGTTAGAACGAAATGTCGATGTTCTATGTGTTAGAACGAAATGTCGATGTTGTGTGTGTTAGAACGAAATGTCGATGTTCTATGTGTCAGAACGAAATGTTGCTGTTGTATGTGTTAGAACGAAATGTTGCTGTTGTGTGTGTTAGAACGAAATGTCGATGTTCTATGTGTTAGAACGAAATGTCGATGTTCTATGTGTTAGAACGAAATGTTACTGTTGTATGTGTCAGAACGAAATGTCGATGTTGTGTGTGTTAGAACGAAATGTCGATGTGAACACTTTACCTGCTGAAATATATGCGATCAAACATGACGTGACGACGATGGCGAGAGAGAGGAATTTGGAAGAAAGAACCATTATTTCCGTCTACTTGTCTTTAGCTTGAGCTTACCCGTTCTGCGGGAAAAATGGAAAGAAAAAAGTCGTTAATATAGTCAGTATGAAACTTTTTTCGAAGACGAAAATTTGCAACTGATGTATCACACAGCATATTAATACCATAGGCGGTTTAGAGAAGTGCATTTTAAAAAGGCGAAATCAGTTGTCATTTAAAAACTAATAATGAAAACATAAATAGATAAATAAACTTATCCTTAAAATAAGAACCACGATTAACTCGAAATAGAAAACTAATCTAGTTATTAATTTCTGCAAGCTTAAAATTGAAATTGCTCTAAAATTCAGCCCTTTTTCCTAAATTTAATGATAATCACCAATACTAGATATTACTACACACACACACACACACATATATATATATATATATATATATATATATATATATATATATATATATATATATATATATATATATATATATATATATATATATGCGTGTGTTTGAGAGTGTGTACACTGTATAAACAGAGAGAGCCCAAAACTTGTTTATCATTGAATCACTTGAGTGATATGAGCCACAAACTATTAAGGTAATTTTGTCATCCCCGCGAAGATTTGTCCAGCCCAAGCCCCTGAATTCACTACACCCAGACGTCAAGACTGCCCCAACAAATGAATGTGGGCAGACAACTGATGTGTGTTTTGTGCAGGAGTTACCTCGACATTAACCGCCCCTGTTTGACAGGGCTATGGGGCTGACGGAGAGGCTCCTTGGTTCATGAATATCTAATTCCCATCTAATTCCCATCTTTCAAATAATATTTGTGCGTACACCAGTTTCGATGACGTCATACGTATGCATCCATTACTGACGCAGAAATGGCACGGAAGGGGGTATGGCTAAGGTATAAGAGAGTTATCACAAATTGTCCCCATACAAGAAAAAAAAATGGGGTCTCTACTTGAATTAGTTTTTACACAGTTGCGACATTTTTTGCTAAAGGAATATATATATATATATATATATATATATATATATATATATATATATATATATATATATATATATATATATATATATATATATATATATGGAATCAAACATTTTTTATGTTGCGTATGTAAGTTAATTTGATATTATGCACTATTTTGGGACATTGAATTGTATAGTGCATAAAATAATTAACGTGCATACGGTAGTAGAATGTGTAAGGATAACGCATTCAGTCTCGATGCTTTTTTGTAGGGTTAAAATTTCACTAAGCTATGCTAGTTTATATGGTAAGAAAACCCTCCATGTTTTTTTTTTTTTTAACTTTAGAATTGCAAATCCTTATTTGAATAAAATATCACTTTTAAATTATCTTTTGGATTTAACATTAAAATGTAATGCGGTGCACTAAAATTGACTAAAAAGATGCAAAAGTCAAATACCATGGCAACGAATATGTTTTTAAATGAAAACCGAATTCACATCAAATTCTTGGCTTCCATTTACAGAAGAATCCCAAGAATTTTTTTTCTGTAAATTACAGTTTTCTAAATAATACTCTAATTACACATTTTAACTTGGGGAAAAGCTATTAACATTTCAACAAAATGAAAAAAAATGGTCAAAAGTTTAAAAGTAGGAATCAACAGAGAATAACCTTATATTTTAGCCTACCATTAATATTAAATAATGTTACGAGTTAGTATTGCAGTTGCAGTTTAATCACACATTACTGGTGACTGTAATTCCCTAACAGGGGCAGGTAACCCGTGGTGTGCATCTGACAGCCAAAGGGAGACAATCCGCAGAATTGTATTTGGGTTGTATCACGATAGCAGGAGAAGACAATTTTCAAATAACAGAACCGACAAGCAAGAGAAGACAATCGGGTACAGCGTAATTAACCGGCAAAGGGAGCCAACTGACGAGGCGTGTATCTGGAATGAAGAAGACAAAAATTTGTTTCCCCTCTCATCCTTCCAATATTTAAAAGCCATTTCGTCAATAAGATAAAATTTGGCGAAACACGAAAAAAAAAAAAACCCATGCGGACTCTAATCTAAGAAGCCTTCTCAAGACTGATCAAGTCCTGCACGGCTTCTTCATTCAAAGAATGTTCATACCGCAGGATGGATCCTGACTCACACTATTAGCCTTTCAATGAAGAGGCCAAACTGCTAACTAGACTGGGGGGGGGGGGGGGGGGCGGGGCTGCCTGATGATCAGATGCGAATTGTATCAGCATCTTGTGAGCGGTGAGCGACACCATACGTATTAGTCTATCAGTGGGCTCGGGGTGGTATCAGATAGAGAAGTCGTAGAATTGCAAGAAAATGATTTCCAACTTAATTAATCTGCGCTTGTATGACGTTTGGACAGATGGAGAGAGGGCGATACCTTGAACTGGACACCCACAGATGGAGAGAGGGTGATACCTTGAACCGGACACCCACAGATGGAGAGAGGGTGATACCTTGAACTGGACACCCACAGATGGAGAGAGGGTGATACTACCTTGAACTGGACCGGCTGTTTACTGAGCATCGTAGGAGTGTAATTTGAGGTAGTATTTTAATGATGATTTGTAACTGTCAGCAGAGTATCAAGGTTTAATAATCGATGACACCAGGAAGTCGAGTCTGTTCTTAAAATTAATTTAGGGAGGGGGGGATAGCAAGCAGTGGAGTGAAAGTTAGTTATGGGTGGGAGAAGCAGTTTCTTCCTGGCATCTTTAAGCTTCCCCTCCCCCCGCAGAAAGTCTATCGCCCCTCACCCCGGACGAGATGGAATTTATATAGTAAACATATACTTTTACTAGTGTCCGCCCCTCCCCCCCCCCCCCCAAAAAAAAAATCAAGTGCCCCCCCGCCCCCCGGAGAAAAAAGTCTGGAAGAAACACTGGGGAGAAGGGGGTGTGATCCACACCGGGTGACACTTTTTCACGGATAGCTTCAAATTAACAAAAAAGTAAAATTTACTGTGAAAAAATAAACCGGTAGTGATCTCCCCTAAACTTTCTCGAATATTCTTATATAAAACAACAGGGGATGGTAACTGGGGATATAGTTATGATTTTTAATCCATTTTAAATACTTAAACTTTTAAAAATAGAATAGAATCTCATAAAAAAAACATTGCGCACCAAGCAAACGCCGAATAAAAACGCGTATAATAGTGCGCAATATTATTAGTACTTTAAAAATGTACATTAGTTTTTTGAGAAATCGGAAGTAGCGTAAATTACTACTTCCAGTCAACGGAAATTACTCAAAATTTAACAGAAGGTAGAGAATTAGATCTTTTACTTACATGTGAAATTTCATTTATCTATCTGAAATAGTACTCAAGTTATAGGCTTTTGAAAAATTCAAAGTAGGAAAAGTACCACTTCCGGTTATCGGAAATCGCTCAAAAGTTGATACGGATCTACGATTTTGATAAAATACTTATATATGAAATTTCATCAACCTAGCTGTAACGGTACTCAAGTTATCGTGTTTACACACGGACAGACACACACACGGACAGACACACACACACACAGACATACTGACAAGATTGCAAAATTATGTTTTTCCGTATCAGTGAGGTGTAAAACGTCGAGATTTGTAAAAATCTCGATTGTTTTTTTTGCACGATTACAATACTTTATACTACGTATATACGAGAAAGTAAAAAACAACGTTTTGTATATGAAGGATGATGTAATAGTAGGGGTTGAGGGTGGGATCATATGCAAATTTGTTGTAGCGAGTTGGGGGTGACACCCTCACCGCACCCATTGACACCCGACCTAGTGACGCCACTGGTAACAAGTAAAAGGTGGTATTCACCAACCCATTCGTCAATAGGTGGGGTGTTCTTGTAGTTTCATTCCTCCTAGCTATTTTGCATTTTCAGGTTGTTGTCACCCTTCATCTCCTTCTATTTTATTATTTTAAATGGGCAAAACACCGTTTTTTAAGGAGATTTTATGATTTATCGATTTGGTGTCACCCGGTGCAGACCGAACCCCTCGCACTCGCCACTGTGACGCCACTGAACGCACGCGTCAATCCCCCAAGAAGCAGACAACTCAGGAGTCCTGTAGGAGACTACTGGTAACATGTACCCGTCCAGTGACCATGTACCGTGACGTCATAGGCCAGCATCACGTGACTGGACCAAGTGTAGACCCCCCCCCTCTACTCTCAGCAACAAGACTCGCGCAGTCAAAGCACACAAAAAACGAACTCTTAAAATCCGCAACACCTGTAATAATGAGATGATCAAACAGCCAGCGAGAAAATAATTTTACGATCCACCGTTGGCTTCACCAATTTAATGTGACCCACGGGAAAAAAAAACAAGTTTATGAAACTTTTTCTCTGATGTCTTTATCGATGGTCAGTATTCATTAGGCTGCCCACTGAACCACGAAGATTGGCTATGAAAGATGCTGGTCACTATTCATTAAGCTGATGTCTACTCGACCACAATGATTGGCTGTAAAAGATGACACATTTCTAGAAGTTTAAGTTTGATGGGGCTGCGTAAACAACTTGGAAGTTTAGTAAATGCCCTACTAAAGTAAACTAAACAACTTGGAAGTTTAGTAAATGCCCTACTAAAGTAAACTAAACAACTTGGAAGTTTAGTAAATGCCCTACTAAAGTAAACTAAACAACTTGGAAGTTTAGTAAATGGCCTACTAAAGTAAACTAAACAACTAGGAAATTTAGTAATTGATTTTCTAAAGTAAACTAAACAAGTAGGAAGTTTAGTAATTGATTTACTAAAGTAAACTAAACAAGTAGGAAGTTTAGTAATTGATTTACTAAAGTAAACTAAACAACTAGTTAGTTTAGTAATTGACCTACTTAAGTAAACTAAACAGCTAGGAAGTTTAGTAATTGACCTACTTAAGTAAACTAAACAGCTAGGAAGTTCAGTAATTGGCCTACTAAAGTAAACTAAACAACTAGGAAGTTCAGTAATTGACCTACTAAAGTAAACTAAACAACTAGGAAGTTTAGTAATTGACCTACTAAAGTAAACTAAACAACTAGGAAGTTCAGTAATTGGC